GGGTGCATTTTTTTTTTTTCCCTCAGCCTTTGTAGCTGAGTGAAACTTTGTACCATGGGCCAGTGTCTCCCTTTGCCCTGCCCTCTCTCCCTCTCTCCCTGCCCCCTGCCTTTGGTAACTACCATTCTGTTCTCCGCTTCTAGGTGTTGAACTTTTTTATGACAATACCAGGCTTGACTAGAAGTCCAGTGTTACCCATTGTACCACAAGTTGGCTAGCATTCAACTGTTTTAGATTCCACATAGGAAGTGAAATCATGCAGTATTCGTCTCTCTCTGCCTAGCTGCTTGACATTGTAAATACAAGTGCCACATTTAAAAAAGTGTATTCATCTGGGCCAGCACTGTGGCATAGCGGGTAAAGCCAACGACTGCAGTGCCAGCATCCCACAGGGACAATGGTTTGAGTCCCCACTGCTCCTCCTCTGATCCTGCTCCCTGTTACCATGCCTGGGAAAAGCAGCAGATGACCCAGGTGCTTGAGCCCCTGTACCTATGCAGGAGACTGGATGAAGCTCCTGGCTTTGACCTGGCCCAGCACCAGCCATTGTGGCCATTTGGGGAGGTAAACCAGTGGATGGAAGACCTGTTTCTCCCTCTTTCTTTCTAAATCTGCATTTCAAAGAAATAAAAATAAATCTCTAAAAATATATAAATTCCTCTCTTGATGAACACTGAAGTTGTTTCCATATCTTAAAAAAAAAAAAAAGTTTATTTTCATGAAGGGGCAGGGAGAGAGAGAGAGAGAGAGATGTCTTCCATCTACTGGTTAACTCCCCAAATGCCAGCAATAGCCAGCGCTGGGCCAGGCCAGTCCCAGGAGCCTGAAACTCCATCAGGGTCTCCCATGGATTTGGCAGGGTTCCAAGCATATGAGCCATCATTTCTTATTTCTAGGATGCATTAGCAGGAAGCTGATTCAGAAGCAGTGTAGCTGGGATTTGAGCCAGCATTTGGATATGGGATATTAATCTGCTGAGCCATGACACTCCTGTTTCTGTAGCTTGGCTATTGTAAATCATGCTACAGTAAGCGGGAGTGTAGACATCTCCCCTGCATACTGATTTCAATTCATTGGAGTATATATACCCAGAAGTAAGATTACTGGATCATATGGTAACCCCATTGTTAGTGTTTTGAGGAGCCTTCATACTGTTTTCCAAAATAGCCCTATGATTTACAATACCACCAACAATGTATAAAGTTTCTTTTTTCTGCATCCTTACCAACACTCATCCTTCGTGTTTCTGCTAATAGCTAATCTAATAGCTGTGATATCACTGTGGTTTTAGTCTGTATTTCTGCTGTGATTAGAGATGTTGAGTATTTTTGTATATCTCACAGCCATTTGTATATATTTGTAGTAGTCTGTTCAAGTCCTTTGCCCATTTTTAAGTAAGGTTATTTTTTTCATATTATTAAGTAGTTTGAGTTATATATTTTGGATATAAACCACTTATCTGATGGATGAGTATTTCTTGCAAATATTTTCTCCCAATCTGGATTTTCCCTTTGATTTTTTTTCTGTGAAGAAGCTTTGTAGCTTGTTCCGATACCATATGTCTATTTTTTGCTTTGTTGTCTGTACTTTGGGCATCATATCAGAAGTCGTGGCCCAGAGCAATGTCAGTTTTCCCACTGTGTTCATATAGTTTAATAGTTTCAGGCTTTATGTTTAAAATTTTAATCCATTTTTAGTTGATTATTTTTTAAAAGAGGCATTTTTTAAATTAATTTATTTGAAAGTCAGAGTTACAGAGAGAGAGGAGCGGCAGAGAGAGCGAGCGAGGTCTTCCATCCAATGGTTCACTCCCCAATTGGCCGCAATGGCAGGAGCTGCACCGATCTAAAGCCAGGAACCAGAAGCTTATTCCTGGTCTCCCACATGGGTGCAGGGGCCCAAGGACTTGGGCTATCTTCTACTGCTTTCCCAGGCCACAGCAGAGAGCAGGATTGAAAGTGGAGCAGCCGGGTCTCAAACTGGTGCCCACATGGGATGCCAGGGCATTAACCCGCTGCACCACAGCACCGGCCCCTTAGTTGATTCTTAACATAAGGAGCAAGAGTCCATTATTATTCTTTCATATGTCAATATCCTGTTTCCTCAACATCTTTTATTGAAGAAACTGTCTTTTCCCTATTGTGTGTTGTGGCATTTTTATCAAAAATAAATTGACATCAATGTGTAGGTTTATTTCTGAGCTTTTATCCTATTCCATTCGTCGATGTGTCTGTTTTTATGCAAGTACCACGCTATTTTGATTATTATAGCTTTGTCATAATTTCTTGAAATCCAGTAGTATGATGCATTCAGCTTTGCTCCTTTTAGACGAGTTTGCCTTGGCTAGTCAGGGGCTTTTGTGGTTCCACTCAAATGTTAGTATTGTCTTTCCCACTTCTGTGAAGAATGACATTGGAATTTTGATATGGATTGCACTGAAGCTGCAGATGACTTTGGGTAGTATGCAATATTAGGAATATTGAGGGGCCAGGCCCCGTGGCACAGTGGGTTAATCCTCCGCCTGCAGCGCTGGCACCCCATATGAGCTCTGGTTCTAGTCCTGGCTGCTCCACTTGCAGTCCAGCTCTCTGCTACAGCCCAGGAAGGCAGTGGAGGATGGCCCAAGTGCTTGGGCCCTGCACCTGCATGGGAGACCAGGAAGAGGCACCTGGCTCCTGGCTTTGGATTGGTGCAGCTCCAGCCATTGCGGCCATCTAGGGAGTGAACCAACGGAAGGAAGACCTTTCTCTCTGTCTGTCCCTCTCACTGTCCTTAACTCTCTCAAATAAATAAATAAAATCTTAAAAAAATATATTGATTCTCAGCCCTTAAGGCTTCCTGGTCTGGCTGAAAAGCCTGTGAGAGCATTTCAGGCATGGAAAGCCAAGACACTGTGGCAAAAAATGTCCTACATGAAGGACCTCTGTGGGTGGAGACCCCAGTGGAAAGAAGTGGCCATCAAAGGAGAAGATACTTTTCTCTGAAGGGAAGAGAGAACTTCCACTTTGCTTATGGCCTTGTCTAAATACTGACAGAGTTTATGGACTCAAAAGCCTTCCATAGCCTAGGCAGCTCCTGTCAAGAGCCTTGGGTGGTCACTGACATCATACCTAAGAGTGTTGTTAAATTAACAGGAGTCACTGTGCACTTACTCTGTCCTCAATGAGTTGTACTATGAGAGTTAACTGTATACCTGGTTCTCAGTTGTGTGTGCAGGTGTGTGCAAATTGTTGAAATCTTTACTTAGTATAGACTTGGTCTTCTGTGTACGAAGTTAACTGAAAATGAATCTTAATGGAGAATGGGACTGGCAAAGGAAGAGGGAGGAGGAGGGTGGGAAGAAAAACTATATTCCTAAAGTTATACTGTTCAAATTTGCATTCCTTAAAAAATAAAAATATTGATTCTTCCAATCTGTAAATATGGAATATCCCTCTGTGTGTGTCATCATTCCAGTGTAAAAATCTTTCACTTTCTTGGTTAAATTTACCAAGTATTTTTGTGTTATAAATAGGATTGCTTTCTTAATTTCTCTTTTAGTTGGTTTGCTGTTGGTGTATAGCAACACTACTGATTTTTATTAAGTTGAGTTTGTGTCTTGCAACTTTGTTTTGTCCATCCTAGTTGTTTTTGGTGTCTTTAGGATTTTCCATATACAACATCATGCCATCAGCAGACTGAGATGTCACTTCATCCTTTCTTATTTGAATGTGTTTTCCTCTTATTTAATTGGAATGGGCTTGTACTTCCATTATTACATTGAACAGAATGGTAAGAGTAAATGAACATCCTTGTCTTGTTCCTGATCTTACAGGGAATTCTATCTGCTGGTTCACTCTCCAAATGCCTGCAACAGCTGGAGCTGGGCTGACCCAAAGACAGGAGCTTCTTCCAGGTCTCCCATGTGGGTGCAGGAGCCCAATGACTTGGGCCATCTTCTACTGCTTTCCCAGGCCATAGCAGAGTTGGATCGGAAGTGGAACAACCGGGTCTCCAACTGGAGCTCATGTGGGATGCGAGCACTGCAGGTGGCAGCTTTATCCACTACGCCACAGTGCCAGCTCCATATTTTGTTATTTTTAATTTCTTCTTTCACTCAATAGTCGTTCAGGAACACATTATTTCCAAGTATTTATTAATTTTCCTTTATTTTTCCTGTTATTTAGTTTCATACTATTGTGGTCGTAAAGATACTTGATATGATTTCAAGCCTCCTAAATTTGTTAAGACTGGTTTTGCAGCCTAATACATCTATCTTGGAACATGTTCCAAGTGCACTTGAGAAGAATGTGGATTCTGTTTTGGGTGAAATGTTCTCTATGTGAGCATGTATGTCAGGTCCATTTAATCCAAAGTGAATTTCAAGTCTGTTTCCTTCCTGATTTCTGTGCAACACTGAGAGCTGGGTACTGCAACTCCCTGCTACTGTGCTGCAGTCTTTCCCTTCAGGTCCCTTAACATTGGCCTTGTACACTTAGGTGCTCTAATGTATACATTAACTACCAGAATCTTACCTTGCTTTAAAGGAACACTCTCAGACTGAAAGTAAAGGGATGGAAAAAGATATTCTATATAAATAGGAACAAAAAGCAAGCAGAGGTGGCTATACTTATTTCAGACAACGTAGTCTTTAGGTCAAAAACTATAACAACAAAGAAGATAGTGAGAAGGTACAGTGAGAAAGGGATCAATTCACCAAGAAGATATTGCAATGTGGGTGCATACTCATCCCCACTTTATCCTTTGCAAGCAACCGAAGATAGACAGGTAAGTGCAATCTTGAAAATGAAAAAGGAAGGGCCAGAGCCGTGGCTCACTTGGCTAATCCTCCACCTGCAGCGCCGGCACCCCAGGTTCTAGTCCCGGTTGGGGCACCGGGTACTAGTCCCGATTGCTCCTCTTCCAGTCCAGCTCTCTGCTGTGGCCTGAGAGGGCAGTGGAGGATGGCCCAAGTGCTTGGTTCCCTGCACTTGCATGGGAGGCCAGGAGGAAGTACCCAGCTCCTGGCTTCGGATCGGCACAGCGCCGGCTGTAGCACCATTAGGGGAGTGAACCAACGGAAGGAAGACCTTTCTCTCTGTCTCTGTCTATAACTCTCTCTCTGACTGTCTATTTTTATTTTTGTTGCCAGGCAGAGTTAAAGAAAAGAAAGAAAAGAGAAAGGAAGACCAACCATTGTAAAAATTGAAATGGTGTAAAATGCACACACAGAAGCACACATGTGTACATGGGCAGATAGCAGAGACAAAGATATTTACTGTTTATTTGACAGTTAGAGGGAGACAGAACCGATCTTCCATCCACTGGTTCATTCCCCAAATAGCCACAATGGCCAGGGCTGTGCCATTCTGAAGCTAGGAGCCCAGAGCTTCTTCCGGGTCACCCACATGGGTGCAAAGGCCCAAGCACTTTGGCCATCCTCTACTGCTTTCCCAGACCATTATCAGTGAGCTGGATTGGAAGTGGAGCAGCTGGGACTTGAACCTGCACCATATGGGATGATGGCACTGCAGATGCAAGCTATACCTTCTACACCATGGCACTGGCCCCGAGAATGACTGGTAAGATGGTCTCTGACTTACAGTGGTTCATCTTGGGCTTTTTTGACTTCGCAATGGGTTTACCAGGATATTAATCGCAATTGCAACTTCCAGTATTTCTGATATTTCTGACCTACAATGGGTCTGCTGGGACCTACCCCACCATAAGCTGAGGGACAGTGGTGCATGCTCTTAAGTAGGCCTCAGTCTACATCTAATTGAGGTTTTTTAATACAGACTTATGGGGCGCCTCTCGAGACAGCACGACTAAGAAACTCTTCCATCTGGACCTTCTCTAAGAGATTTATCTTGTCCAAACGATATGTAGTGTTTCTGAGAAATGGTTCTTACAGAATCAGCAACTACAAAACTCTCCATGGCACCAGGAGATAATGCCATGATAATCCAGCACACATCTGTCCTAGTTATTTATTCCTGTTTCAAATGCACCTTTCGCTATCACGGCCACGGTGATGGACAGAATCCGTGTCTCTTCGTTACAGGGAAGGGTGCTGCAGAGGTAGGTGCTCCTCCACTGAGGACGGGACTGCGCCCCACGAATCACTGCAAGCTGGAAGCAGCATAAACTGAGACACTCACACTACCGCAGTGAACACGGCAGAGCTTAGCCTGGCCCGCCTCCAAGGCACTCCGAACACTTACTGTGCATACAGCCTGGCACAGTCACCTGACACAACCACTCTACAGTGCAGGACATTTGTGCAACTTCTTGTCTACTGAAAGTGACACACAGAATGGCTGCATGAATACACTTTTGCACCACTGTGAAGTCAAAAAACCTGAAGACGAACCACTGTAAGCGGGACCAGTTATATTCTGGCTGTCTGTGGCCCTATTTGGCGGGGGGGGGGGGGCACATTAGATGGATTTCTGCCCCAAATGCATGCCCAGATGTGCAGTGTCTCTACAAACTCAGAGCATTAGGCCATAGCTAACTTTCTCCCAAACACCTGAACCTGACAGGTTCCTGCTTGCACTGGCTCCCTGAATGTCTCCCGCCAACACCAGCTCCCGGATTCTGTCTGCAGGTCCCAGGCAGAGGGTTCCCACTCAGCGGCCAACACTCCTGCCGGGCCTCACCACCACTCGCCGCAGTTGTGTGCTCTGGAGGGTTCCTCCCCCAGCTTGCCCAGGGACTGCAGACTAGATCTGGCTGGAGAAAACCAGCCAACTTCCTGGCTGGGTGGGCCGAGTTCCATTCTCCATGGAGTTCTGAACCCCAGCCCTGGGATGGGGTCTCTTACTAAGTTGATACCATATAGAATTCCTTTTATCTTCTAGTTACTTGATCAGAATTGAGTAATTCCTGGTGCTAAATACTCCCTGTTCAACTCACTGGGTACAGCAACAGCAATACCAATGTTCTAGCAGGAAATGCACCTGCCTTTCCACTGAGAGGAATTCACTATATGGAGGAGAAGTAAAAACAAATGAGCCAGTTTCCTCATTTGCCACTTTTTTTCTTGCCTAATTCTGATTTCATGGCGTGGCAATCAGTCAAAGGCAACGAGCACACTCTTGTCTCTCGAGCTGGACTGTTCCATCCGAGCCGAGACTAACAAATCCGTGTGGGGGCCGCGCAAAAGGCTGACTGGGATGAATTTCAATCAGAGCGGAATTTCAGATTACCCACACTTGGGAGTCTGAACCGAGTCTCTTGGAGGAAAAACAATTAGTGCACTGGAGCCTGAGCAAGTGCTTATTAGCTTGTTTAAATTTAAAACCGATCTAGAGAGGAGTCTGGGCAGGGGGCAACCTTGGGGGTTATTTAAAAGTGGAGACAACACACACTTACAATGCGGTAGCCAATGACAGTAAACATGATAGGGCGTTGGACTTCTGAGACTCTGAATTTCAACAATTTTTATTAAAAGGTTTTGATTTAGAAGTAAGAAAACTGTTCATGTACCCTCTGATTTTAAAATGGCCTTTATCATTTTATCCCATGCTTTATCCCAAAGGGTTAAGGCAGCAATAAATACTTTATCCTAAATAATCTTCTACTGGGTAGAATGGCCCCTGTGACCACTTTATGCCTTACTGAAGATTAGTAAATTATTTCTGACCAATGTTCCTTCTTCCTTCCAGTAGTAACATAAATAAACCTCATGTCCTTAAATAATTCCAACTTAATACAGAAAAAATAATTTCAACCTGACAGAATAAAGCCAGCACTCTCATGGACAACTAAACCAAAGACAAGCAAGTCTGGGACCATATATAAAAAAGCCCACGTTTCCCAGGCCTCTAGAAAAAAGCCCGGGATCTCAATAAATGAAATTTGAAGGTGGAGCTCAAAGCCCCTGCCTCTGATCAGATGTGAACAAAGCAGGAACAGGAAGGACCTAGTAGGCGGTCCCGGCTGCTCCTCTCCATTTGCTTCCATGCAGCACCTGTTAAACCCTCACCCTCAACTGCGGAGACAGCCACCGATTCTCGGGTTGACCCAAGACTCGCTCATTCTCCAGTCTGGAAACCAGGTGTGCGGATAATGCAACCGGCAGCGTTGGTTCCCCTGGAGTGAAGCAGAACAGGCGTGGTTTCGACAGTGCGTGGAGAAGTGGGGGCCGAGTGGGCGGTCGGCCGGCAACCTGCCCAGGGACTTCTCCCGAGCCCCAGGGCGTGGAGGCCCTGTCCCTTCCTGCGGCTTCACAGGTCTCTGGGAGACCCTCACTGGGAATATTCCAAGATTGACTCCCAAATGACCACGGTCATGGGCAATTCTGAGATGTCACATGCCTCCTGGGACTGCCCAGCGGGCACGCTCCTAACCGCTGCACTCAGGGTCCGGGCGCAGGACACTGTGAGGAGGAAGCGTAGTGTTTACTATAGACGATCCTAACAGTAACAACGCAAAAGGAAAAAGGGATAAACACAGGCTGCTTTTCTCAACGCCGACAAGCGGGTTGGTGAGTATCGCATCCACCTAGGAATTAGATTTCAAAGTCCCACTTGGAACCTCACTCAACATTTCCACCTAACAAGAGCGGCTACAGCCCCAGGAGGGTGAGCCGGGCGGGTCTCTGCTGTGGGGTTACGACTTCTACAGCTATGGATCCGAAAGTCCTTGACAAAGACAATGTGCACAGCGTCCTCTAGACACAGGCTTGGAATCTGGGTGCCCAGGGTTCCCCTGCGGATGCTGGCCGGCTGCGTCAGCCTGCTCTGACTGGCAGGACCCACGTGGGGGCAGCGGGACACCCAGGATGCCCACCAGCTGGGGTGGAGCGCAGCCCCCGGACACATCTGCTGGATGCTCTGCTGTTCTGTAGCCGTGCAGGGGTTGTGGGTGCTGCTGCTGGTCCCCTGGGTTCCCAGGAGATGGGGGCTCCGTATGGGACGGCAGCTTCGAAGACACTCCTGGGGAACCAAGGTTCCTTCTTCAATTCTATCCGTGCAGTCACGGAGCGCATAAGCCACGAACAAGGCAGCAGTGCTGGCTGACCGCTCCCAAGAAACTTCTGGGTGGTCTCTCGTTTCTACGGCAATCAGAGGACAAAGGTACTAGGGACCAAAACTACAGTTTGGATATTCTCAACCAGAAGATAAAATTTCACTAAAATGGACGGAGTCAAACCAAGGGCATGGGGGATGCTTGTCCTCGGACTCCCTGAAAGTTTCACTCTGGCTGGCTGCCTGGTATCTGCAAACCCGAGTAAGAAAGGGATTAGCCACGGATCAGACACACGAAGAAACCAACTAGCCCACCCAGGCGCGGCCTGGGATGTGCCACGGGCTCCAAGTACAAGCCCACCGCCACCTCCACCGGCGGTGACAGCGGAGGCCAGCCCCCGCCTGCCTTGCACTTCCCGTCTGTTTTACGAAGCTTACAGCCAGAGCTTAGGAGTCACCTACACAAGACTGTGCACAATCAGTCTTCAGGAGCTGAGAGAATTTCTAATCAAGAATGTAGCCAATGGGGTTGGGAAAGTGTCATGCAAACAGCCTGACTGTGGATTTGGGGTTTCACGGCCCTGCCCACCACCACCAGGAAGCACGCGGAACGCTGGGCTGACCTGCGGCACAGAGCCTCCCTCCTGTGGCAGAGCAGGCAGCAGTAGACACTGGGACTCCTCCCCCCAAGGACGCAGCCAGGCGTGGACGTCCCCTGGTGTTTGTACAGCAAAGCCGGAGAGGCCAAGCGTGTAACGAAGAAGCGAGGCTCCACGCTGGGGGTGCGGCTATCTTTGGAATTCTTCATTAAGGTTTTCACAAAATACAAAGCTGAGACGGAACTCTAGGTCCACCACAAAGCTGAATCAAGTGAGTGGTTAGCACACAAACACAATGATCTCTGTCATCTTGAAAAAATATAAATAACAACAGCAAGGCTCATGTCTTCGCGAGTGTGTCTTTTTAAGGCTCTGTGTTGCAGACCCTGCTTCTGTGGACTGGCACCTGTGGCCAGGACACACTGCTTCCCCCAACCCCGGGCCAGGAAGGCCGCCGTGGGGACATGCCCAAGGGCGACACATGCTGGTCTACGTTGCCTCAGCTTGTTAGAAACTAAAGGATCCATCGACACCCCCCGCCACCCTGGGGTCTCCCGGTGTCGTTACCGTTCCTCCTACCACAGAGCAATCGAGAGGCCGCGTTCCCAGCAGCACTCAAGCTCTCGGGAGGGCTAGAGAGGAAACTTCCTGTCACCCAGAGAACCCATCACCCATTCAGTCTGAACGTCTGTGCTGCAACAGCCTCTCAGATTAAACAGTGCTCAGGGAAGGGACGGTGTGGCTGGCGTCCTAGAGGGGAGGCTCGCCGGCGAGGGCCGGGGGCAGGGCCGGGGCCCCAGCCTTGGGGGTGAAGCCCGAGGGCAGGCTCTCCAGCAGGCACTTGACCTGCTCCTGGCCCAGCTTGATCTTGTCGTCCAGCTTCCGCTGCTCGATGAGGAGCGTGGACTTCATCTTCACGAAGTGCTGGTAGTCCTGGAGCTGCTCCTCCGACAGGTAGTTGGCCAGGATGTCCAGCACCACGCGCTCGCGGCGGTCCAGGTTCTCCTTGAGCTCGCGGGCGTCCTCGTGCTGGCTGGCCAGGATCTTCCTCTTCTGGTGCAGAGAGCTCTGCGGGGCAAAACACACAGGTCAGCTAAGGGCCGGGCAGGAGCCGGGCCCCTAAACAAGGGAGCCTCTTCCGGGACGCGAAATGGCTGTTTTCTAGCCTGCTTGTCCCTCCAGACACTGACGACCAGCCCGGCATTCTGAGGCTGCGTACCACACTCTCCCACTTGTACAGTCATTCAGGAGCTCCACACTGACAGGGGCTAGGTCTTGGCTGGGGACTCGACTTTTGGGGTCAAGGCTTAAAAAAACAGCCAACATGTTGCCTTAAATAAATGCTTACAAGGGTACTGCAAGATGAAATTGAAAGTATGCATTTACAGGGCCGGCACTGTGGGGCAGGTGAAGCCTCTGTCTGCGGTGCTGGCATCCCAAATGGGTGCCAGTTTGAGTCTGGGCTGCTCTATTTCCAATCCAGCTCCCTGCTAATGCACCTGGGAAAGCAGCAGAAAATGGCCCAAGTGCTTGAGTCCCTGCACCCAGTTGGGAGACCCAAAAGAAGCTCCTGGCCTCAGCCTGGCCCAGCCCTGGCTGTTGCAGCCATTTGGAGGAGTGAACCAGTGGATGGAAGATCTGTTTCTCTCCTATTTTTGCCTTTCAAATAAATAAATCTTTTTAAGTATGCATTTACTTGGATGCAAAAACCTTTTTCATAACGTGAGGAAAACTTATGTATGAAAAACCTCCTGCATGCATTTCAAAAATTTTTTGGTACTAAAGTATCAGTCACACTTTTCAGGCCACAATGATCACTTCAACCTCTCTCAGTACAAATTAGCTTGCTTAGGGTATCAGTGGCTCTGTGTCTTAGTCCCAACTCTCCCCTACTCTGGCCTGCCCAGGCAAGGTGCAAAGGGAAAAGATCTGTCTCAGAAACGTCCCCACCTTCACGGACTCCTTCCCCTATCACACCACCCACTCCTGAAACAACCTCCTGAGTGCCCCCCGTTTGAACGGAGAGCGCTTTCTAAACATGGTAGAGCTAGAGGTTAAAAGAGGAGATCTTCCACCTCACCTTAAAGTAGTGAAAAGTTTTCTGATTCTCATCTGAGAGGCAGGGAGAGCCAGAGGAAGTGAGGTCCCATCAGCTGGTTCACGCCCCAATGTGTGCAGTGGCCAGGGCAGGGCCAGACCAAGGACAGGGGCCAGGAACTCAATCCAGGTCTCCCAACCACCTGGAGCCATCACCTGGTGCCTCCTAGGCTGCCTGTTGGCAGGAAGCTGGACTAGGGAGCGGGAGCCAGGACTCGGACCCAGGCACTCTGAAATGTGACCCTGGCAGCTGTCGCATAGAGAATGCCCAGTAATGGTGCAAAAACTTTACAGGAACTTTTTCCAGATTAGAATTTTAAGTTTGAGATTTAGTTGAAGCCTACAGGCACTCATCCTTAATCAAAATCCTCCCCTCCCGCGCCGTGGCTCAATAGGCTAATCCTCCACCTTGCGGCGCCGGCACACCGGGTTCTAGTCCCGGTCGGGGCGCCGGATTCTGTCCCGGTTGCCCCTCTTCCAGGCCAGCTCTCTGCTATGGCCAGGGAGTGCAGTGGAGGATGGTCCAGGTGCTTGGGCCCTGCACCCCATGGGAGACCAGGAAAAGCACCTGGCTCCTGGCTCCTGCCATCGGATCAGCGCGGTGCGCCGGCTGCAGCGGTGGCCATTGGAGGGTGATCCAACGGCAAAGGAAGACCTTTCTCTCTGTCTCTCTCTCTCACTGTCCACTCTGCCTGTCAAAAAAAAAAAAAAAAAAAAAAAAAAAAGAAAAAAAAAAAAAGAAAAAAAAAAAATCCTCCCCTCCCACTGGTCACTATTCCCCCGAATTCAGCATTTATTGAGCCACTTACTCTTGTCATTTTCTCATCTCTATTTATCCATTCAGTTTCTTAAAGAGCAATCATAATAAAAAACGGATATTCTCATATTTTGCAGGCAAGCAAGCACTTACTGGCACTAAGAAGGAGTGTGTACGCTGCATCAAAGTACTGAATTTAATTCAATTCTGGGAACAACCCATCTTGCCCTCGTTAAAACCACCCCCCCCACCCCGATTTCCTGACCCAGGCATCTGCAGCATCCACCCCAGGGCCAAGCACGAGGCCCTGTGTTGCCTTCTGCTCCTCCTGCCTCCACTCCCTGCCCTGCATATTTAAACCCATCCTCCAAGTCCTTCCCTGTCTCTGTGACATGTGCCTCAGCGGCCTCTTGCCTACACCGTCGCATACGCGTCCCAGCTGTTGTTCCGGCAACTCCCTCTCCCCGACGCTGCGTGGGTCACGAAGTCAGTTCACAGCTGCTCGCACTGCAGCTGCAGGCCTAGACAGTGGGGCCGCGGGGACTCTGCTCTGTGCTCGGCATGGTGTGCCGCCCCCAGGCCCACTCTCCCCTCTTACGATGGGGGCTGCAGAGCCGTAGGGCGGCTAGCGCGACCGGTTCTGGTCAGGGTCCCGCTCCCCTGTTCCTTCAGGACTAGGAGTAGTAATGGCTTCCCCGCTGATGCTGGCCCTGGGAGGTGAGGAAGGGGGACTCTCTGGTATTCTCCTGGGTTTCCAGTAACCCCTCCCATGCCTTCTTTGAACTTCCTTCGGTATCCCTTTCGATGGAGCCATCTACTTCCCGTGAGGTCCCTGGCTACACAAGTTTCTCATAGTTCCCACAGCTCGCTACCTTCAAAACCCAATCAGCAAGCAAGCAGTCGCCCCCGGGCATGGGAGATGCCACCTTCTGTGTCTCAGTTACCTACTCCTTCCCAGCCCCAAAGAGACCCTCATCACACTGCGCGAGGGCACGCCGTGGGCCTGCGCTGCCGGCTACCTACCCTTTCTTCGTTACTGGCGTCCTCTCCGAGGCCGCTGAGGACGTTCTCAACGCGGGCCAGGCGCCCCGAGAGCGACAGCAGCAGGTTCACCACCTTGTCCAGGTCCCCAATGAACATCTTGTACTTGTCAAACTCGTTGGGCTTGCAGAGCTCGCTGATCCACGCCTCCACCTCCTCCCCCAAGGCGTTGTTGAGCTTGATGTCCATGAGCAGACTCCCCTTGGCTTCCTGGAGGGTCTCGAGTTTTTGGGTGAGGCTTCCAATGAGCTCAGCCTGCAACAACAGACCAGAGGCAGAGGCAGTAAGGGTCAGCCCGCGGCTGTCCGCGGACACAGTCACTTCTCCCAGCTGCTCTCCTCCTCAGGGCTCAGCTTTGCCCCTGCTCTGTGCGGTCTGTCTCCCTGACCCCGAGTTAGGCCTTCACAGTATCTCCTTTGCCTTTACGTCCGCAGCTGCCTCTGTTATAAATACTGAGAGAGTCTCCATCTGAATGGTTCACTCCCCCAGTGCCTACAGCAGCAAGTTCAAGCCTAAGCCAGCAGCCAGAAACTCCATCCAGGTCTCCCACATGGAGTAGCAGGGACTCAGGTACTTGCACCATCACCTGCTGCTTCCTGGGGTACCCATCAGCAGGAGGCTGGAATGAGAGGCAGAGCTGGGCCTTGACCCCAGGCAGCCTGGTGTGGGATGCAGGTGTCCCAGAGCAGCCCTGAAACACACCGCTCATCTTTCATTCCACTTTCCCACAAACGCTTTGAAATGCCCTCCTATGATCACAATGACAGACAGAAATCCCGAGTTCTCGACAGCCTGCCCATCCAGGAGCTGCACAATCAGAGGTACTTCCGTCACAGAGGTCTGCAATGTCCGTGAGACGCTGTGGTGGCAATGACGCCATCCTGCAGTCTCCTCGCCCTGCCTGCGCCCGGAGACTGCGGGTGGCTGGGACATTCTCGTCTGCTGCACCATCTCACCGTGGCTCTGACCTGGGGCCTTCCTCAGGCTGTTTAGTAAAGACAACGTCAGTGGCGGACAACACTGTGGAGTATATAAATACACCGCTCCCTATCTGAGGAATCTGAGCTCAGACGACACAGGCGGCGGATGCTGTTGAACGCTCACGCTGTTTTCCTCCTCTTCTCCTGGAGAACCTGACACTGGCTGGCAGCTGCGGCACTCGCCTGTACATTAGCATAGCTGACCCTCCGGCGCTGTGATTTACAACCATATGAAGACAGGTATACGCACACAGGCTGGGAAAGCAGTAGGAAAACAAAGGGCTGGTTCCATGGTGCAGTAGGTTAATCTTTCGCCTGCGGTGCCGGCATCCCATATTGGTGCCAGTTCTAGTCCCGGCTGTTCCGCTTCCAATTCAGCTATGGCTGGGAAGGCAGTGGAGGATGGCCCAAGTACTTGGGCCCCTGCACTCGCATGGGAGACCTGGAGGAGGCACCTGACTCCTGGCTTTGGATCAGCGCAGCTCTGCCCATTGTGGCCTTCTGGGGAGTGAACCAACAAAAGGAAGACCTTTCACCTTTCTGTCTCTCCCTCTCAAATAAATAAATCTTTTTTTTTTTTGGGGGGGGACAGGCAGAGTGGACAGTGAGAGAGAGAAAGGTCTTCCATTGCCATTGGTTCATCCTCCAATGGCCGCCGCGCTGCGACTGGCGCGCCGCACTGATCCGAAGGCAGGAGCCAGGTGCTTTTCCTGGTCTCCCATGGGGTGCAGGGCCCAAGCACTTGGGCCATCCTCCACTGCACTCCCTGGCCACAGCAGAGAGCTGACCTGGAAGAGGGGCAAACGGGACAGAATCTGGCACCCCGTCTGGGACTAGAACCTGGTGTGCCGGCGCCGCAAGGCGGAGGATTAGCCTAGTGAGCCGCGGCGCCGGCCAAATAAATAAATCTTTAAAAGAAAAAAAGCAGTAGGAAAACAAAACACTGTGTGCTTTTATGTTGAAGAAAAGTCCAATGTCTTTCTTGGTTCCTCAGACAATGGGAGGGACTGACAGCTACCTGAAGTCTGCCTAGGAGTTTTTAACCTCAGGGTATATGTCCTAGGTTTGACACTGTAGATGTTACTTTCTTCTAGAAAATTCGGTTATACCAAATGTGAAAAGGTTATCAACTGAGCAAAACGCCCCCACTCCAGCCTCGGCAGAGCCCTTCAGCCCATTCGAGTCTGTGGCATGCGTCTCAACTTCACATTGTGAGAAGCACAAGTCCTGGGAGAGGTTTTTAAAAACTAAATAGTGGGGAGAAAAGACTGTAGCAGCCTCCTATCTGTGATTATTTCTATAAATTGGCTTCTTTAGAGATTCTTATACGGTATTTGAGGAAGAAACTCAAAGCACCTTAATACTTTAATTGATATCTTTTAAAAGCTTATGTATTTTTGGAAAGGCCAGAGAGTGAGCCGGCACAGATCTTCCATCCATTACTTCACTCTCCAAATACCAGAACAGTCAGGCTAGCCCAGGCTGAAGCTGGGAGCCAGGAACTCAATCGAGGCATCCCCGTGGGTGGCAGAGATCCAACTGCTTGAGCTATCCACCACATGCTGCCCCCCAGGGTCTGCATTAGCAGGAGCTGGAATCAAAAGCACTCAAACTGGGGTTGGCGCTGTGGCACAGCAGGTTAAAGCCCCAGCCTGCAGTGCTGGCATCCCATATGGGCACTGGTTCGAGTCTCAGCTGCTCCTTTTTCCAATCCGACACTCTGCTATGGCCTGGGAAAGTGGTAGAAGATGGCCCCACTCCTTGGGCCCCTGCACCCGCGTGGGAGATCCAGAAGAAGCTCCTGGATCCTGGCTTCGGATCAGCTCAGCTCTGGCCATTGCGGTCATTTGGGGAGTGAACCAGCAGAATGGAAGACCTCTCTTTCTGGCTCTACTTCTCTATGTAACTCTTTCAAATAAATACAATAATTCTTTAAAAATAGTAATAAAAAAAGTACTCAAACCAAGGCACTCCGAAATGAGATGCAGGTGTCCCAAGTGGTATCGTCACCACCTCACCAAATGTCCACCCCTTAGCCGAAGCCTTCTAGAAGCCAATGCCTTGGGGGCTCCCCAAGGCTGGCATTTACACGCCCCAAGTGTGATGACTGCTCTCGTGTGGGGGTGGGGTGGGGGAGGAGGTGCAGCGAGGGAAGCCCTCCTTCTGAGTTTCTGCTGCCCTCAGCTCACCAGATGTCTCGGGATCCTGTGCAGCGCCGAAGCGGCAGGCGTGAAGGAAGCCCGGCTCCATGGCTAGGGCAGTCAGGAGACTGGCGCGGGCGAGCGGCCCCAGGGAGCAGGCGCAAGCGTGTTGCTTTCCGGAGCCTGCTTCTGTTTCCAAAGAGGTCAGCGCTGGGCAGAACCATGAATGGATCTGTTGCAGGAGCCTCGCGTGCTCCCAGGCTTCAGGCTCTAAGCAGACTAGGGGAGGGACGCCCTGTGCAGGAACCCATGCACATTTAATGGCAGTCCCTCAATTTTTTAAAAAATCTAATCCTTTCTGTTAGATTCTGTTTTTACATCTTAATTTTAACAATTACTTATTTACTTGAGAGGCACAGAGCCAGGGAGAGTGAGCTCCCGTCTGCTGCGTCACTCCCCAGCGCTCACAACAGCTGGGGCCAGAACCCAATGCAGGTCTCTGACGTGACAGGCAGGAACTCCACTGTGCAGCGGTGACTGCCGACTCCCAGGGAGCACTTCCGCACAGGGGGTGCAAGTCAGGAGCCGGAGCTGGGTACTGAACCAGGGCACTCTGGCGTGGGGCGCGGGTGTCTGAACCAGCGGCGCCACCTGCACTCTGATTTCTGAAGGCGTGTGCCGGGCTGCAGCTCGGCCACAAATGCCAGCATGCAGTTACCGCTGAGCTCCCTCAGCCGCTCGGCCCACAGCTGCATAACTGGGTAGCACTGCAATTTATTTTTTAAACTCTACCATGCCCTTAAAATATGGAAATCTGAAGCCAAAAAAAAAAAAAAATGCAGTGCAGAAAGATCTGAGTAACTGAAAACACAGGGAAGCTGGCTGAACTGAGCAGTCATTCCTTTGCCAGGCCGATCTCTTAAAAAAAAAAAAAAAAAAGTAGTAAACCACCAAGTTCAACCAGCAAACTCCCTGGGGGAGGGAGACGGGGGTGCGTGTTCAGGTAACACCCAGCCTCTCAGGAGCCACTTGGCCTGCTACCTGTGCTCTAAGGCTGGCCCTGGTGAGCTCCGAGTTCAGTTTCTGGCTCTGGTTGGTTCTAGCCAGGGACCCGCATTCTCGCTCAGGCCGCTATCCTGGGAGCAGTTTTCAGAGGACGGTGTGGTTGGAGGGCCTCCAGGGAGGAGTCCGACCTGAGCAGCTGCTGGCTGCTGAGCCGCCGGCACGTCCATTCTGACTCGGGTGACTCCCGTGTGGGGGTCCCGGGGCTTGTGTGACAAATCAGCCCCGATGTGGGGCGCCACCGGAGCTGCCCCTCACCTCCGGAGAGCAGGAACTCCAGAGCCTCTTGGCCTACGACACTTTCTGCCGCATAACCCCCAAGGTGAGGGTGGTGATGAAGGCAGGAAAGGCAGAGGGTGCGTGGAGTTCACCCGGGGAGGGGCGGCTGAGCGAGCGGCCGCAGTGCTGCCGTAGCACGGCCGTGTCCACAGGCGGGAGCCCAGGCCCGGCGCACGACACCTGGCGGCCGGCACAGCCAACAGTGTTCACACACAGGCTGGCGCTGGGGGACAGAGCCAGACCAACAGCAGAGGGCTGTCACTCCCCGTCAGAGGATTTGCTAAACCAGCCGAGGGTGGGAATCACCAGCCGGCAGGTACGAGGCTGCCGTGAGCAGCAGAAGAGAGAGAGCCAGAGGCAGAGAATCCCACCGAGCAGGGGCTTCTAAAATCCGCCCCGCGCCATTCCTCCTTGCTGCTAGGGCTGAATCCAGTGTGGTTTCATTCACAATCAGGAAAGCCGGGGAATGCACATCACAGAAACAATGAAACAGTTTCCCCTAAGACTCAATACCAGGAAAACCAGAGAACCACTGGAGCAGACTGGGGACCCATGGGGGAGGGGGAGGGGAACCACTGGAACGTTCTCTGAGCACAGCCCAGCCCGGCGAGAGCCCCCGGGTCTGTGGGCAGATGGCAGCGGCTTCCCGGTCATTTAAAAAATGTCTGACATTTACCAGTCTGTAGGAGTACCAACCGCTGATGGCAAAGTGCTTTCGCGGCACGTGCTGAGCTGGGTGCAGGAGGTGAACGGGGCCTTTGCTCTCTGGGCATCCCGATCTGCTAGTGCTCCCCTGACCACGGACCACAAAACAAAAAGCACCACTGGCCGACTAGCTGCCAGGCCCGACAACCAGACGGCTCAGAAGTAACCGCCTCCCTCTCAGCCCCACTGCCCTGCCTGCCCGCAGGGAAGTACAACGCCACACAGGTCCAGCGTCCTCCTGCCTTCAGGCCCAGCACCCCTGCGGAACAAGGACCAGGACTCTGGGAGACAGGACGGAGCACCCCCGTCCTCTCACCTTTTTCTCATTGACGTCCACCTGCTCCTCGGCCTCGGCCACCTCCTCGGGCATCTCTTTGATTTTGTTCAGCAGCTCAGCCTTGGGTGCAGACACGTTGTAGTAGGCAGCAGGGCAGGCGGCCAGCACGCCCGCCACCTCCCGGTCTTCACTCCTGGGCCAGAAAGAACACTCAGCTCAGCCACACGCGGCAAGGCGAGCTTCAACACCACAGGACCCCCGATCCCACTGCTCTTCCCAGGTTAGGGCGGAGGAGCCAGTGCTGACTGACGTCTGACACCCACGTACAGGGCAAGCAGGGACAGAGGCAGGGTCAGCCTCCCGCACGCTCTCCTTTCATGGCGAACAGGAGGGCGCCAGAGACTCCTTACTGCCCAAACGGACAGTGCAGGGCCATCACTCCATCACGTGACAGCACTTTCAAGGTGCTGCACAAATCCCGGGCTTCTGGCTTCCTTCCCCTGCTCCGCCTTGGTTACCCACGGGCTTTCTGATGCCCACTACGCTGCTGCTTGCACACTCAATGCCCTTCCTTCTCAACTGAGACTAACACATCGTGAAAGCCTGGGCGTGTGGGGCTTGCTGGTTCACACTGAGCGAGTATAGAATGTGGAACCTGCTCACCAGTTTTACAACAGGGGTTCCGAGGCTGCAAAACAAAACCAGACATCGGGAACCCTGGTATCCAGTATGCTGTTTCAGTCGAGTGGCTTTTCAGATGTAACTCAGATCCCACCCTCTGGACAAATGGCTCTCTGGCAGTACGTGGGAAACTAATGACTGAATCTGACTATTTCACATCTGGCCCATCATTTTACTGTGGAGTAAAGAACCACAGAAAATGATCTTTACTGGCTTCCTGCTTCATGACTTTCCCTCTAAGCAACATAACTACATTTAATCCAGCTGATTGAAAAACAGCAAGAGGGGGCTTGCGTTGTGGTGCAGTGGGTTCTGCAGGTGTCCCCTATGAAAGCCAGCTAGAGTCCCAGCTGCTCCACTCCCAATCCTGCTCCCTGCGGATGCTCCTGGGAAAGCAGCAGAAGATGGCCCAAGTGCTTGGGTCCTTGCACCAGCATGGGAGACCTGTATGGAGTTTCTGGGTCCCGGGTTCAGCCAGTCCCAGCCCTGGCTGTTGCATTCATTTGGGGAGTGAACCAGTGGTTGAAAGATCTTTCTCTGTAATTCTACTTTTCAAATAAATCTTTAAAAGAAAAAAAAAAAAGAAAAAAAGTCTGCCTTTCTTTGCTTTTGTTTTTGGATATATATCCACTGCAATGCAAATGGGCTTCGTCTGCCAGCCCCCAACAGGACAATGCTTTCCTTCACCAGCAGATGGCGCATGCTTCCTTTTACAATCCTTAGGATGCGCTCAGAGCTGCAAAGGCCACCTGGCCATTTGCTTTCTAAACTCAGTGGGCAAACAATGTTCTCAATGGTAATTCTATGAAATACTTTTCTAAGGGTGAATTGTATTTATTTATTTTTAAAGGATTCATTTATCTGAAAGGCAGGTGACCAAAAGAGTGATCTGCTGGTTCGATTCCCAAATGGCCACAATAAGCAAGCCTGGGCCAGGTTGAACCCAGAAACCATGTGGGTACAGAGGCCCAAGTTCTTGGGTCATCACTGGCTGCCTTCCCCGGTGTGTTAGCAGGGAACTCAATCAGAAGTAGAGCAGCCGGGACTCAAACCGGTGCTCTGATTATGGGTCGCCGGCGTTATAAGCAGTGGCTTAACCCACTGCACCACAATGCCCACCTTGGGGATGCAATTCTAAGTTACTTTGGTCTCTGCAGAGCACACAGAGTATAATGACCACACCACAACCACCATGGTGAACTGCTTGGCACACACCCAGGACTCCTCTCTGGGAGCACTGTGGGACCCAGCAGATCGACTGCCTCGCAGACTGCAGGTACTCAGGGACGGCCAGACGCACGGCCCTGGCCATGCCCTGTCACTTCAACTAGTCTCTGTCTCCCAAATCTGGGAAGGGGATGGCCCTGATGGCCAGTGAGGCCTTCAGTCGGGAGGGCCTCTGTCTGGTAACACACTGCTTTTAAGTAGCACAGGGCTCTCTCCTGTCCCCTCCCCTGGGGGAAAAGCCTAGCATTCCTGTTAGTCACTTAGAATCACTCAGACGTTTCTAAACCACAAGCCTGGCTGTAGACGACATGTTCTCTGTAGTTAGCCTGGAAGCCACTAACTGCCGTGTCCCAGTCTATCAGTCCAGAGAGTTCTCACTGAAAATGAAAAAAGAAATATAAACGCAAAGTCCTTCCCATAGGAGTCCTTCAAAGAAATCTAGCAAGCCAGAAAACAGAAGGCGACTTCAAAAGGCTTGTGGAGAAAGTGGGGTGAAAAGTAGCTTATTCTGGTGCAAAAAAGTTTTTGAAACTCTTGCATAGTTTCTTCCTACTATACATTTTCCAAGAACTTTTTGCAGAGCCCTTGTATCACAATAGCCCAAGAGCAAGCGAAAGATGAAGAACTCGGCCTGCTGAGGGTTCTCTGGCAGGGGGACCTGTGCTCCAGGATGGGCCCCGCAGAAGCAGCAGAGCGCACCCCTCACAGCTTTCTCAATTTCCAGCACTTGAGCAAAAGCCCGCCTCAATGCCTCCCGGGTGACCAGCAGTGCAGTGAGTCTCCCAGGGTGTCTCTAGGCTCTCAGCCTTTTCACAAAGGCCATGCTCCCCGCCTGGGGAGGCCTTGGCCACGCCCACTTCTACTTGCTCCTGGTTGAGTCCTGGGCCCCGGGGGTGGGGTCTTTGCACGGCACGGTCACGGTCACGGGCTAGGGTCAGATCCGGCTGCCCTCCCTCACATGTTCTACAGCATCGGCTGAGCATGATCTTAACCCCCCGTGCTCTGCTTTCCTATCTGCAAACTGCAGGTGAAACTGGCAGCCACCTCGGAAGGAAGGGTCTTGTGAGCATCGCGCGAGATGCCATTCACATAAAGAAACGAACACGATGCCATCGCAGCCTTTACTACTGCTCTTAGTTTTCTCTGTTGGGCACGTGTCCTGCATCCCACTCCCCACCATCCCCCAGAGCTGAGCTGGAATGCCACTCTTGGCTCAGGACCTGTGGGTGGGGCAAGGGGGCCCCAGTCGGAGGCAGCGCGGGTCCAGGGCTCACCTCTTGCCTTCGCCGACGGCCCTGGGCACGGCCTTCCTCTTCGCGCCGCTCTCCTTCAGCACGTGAGCCTCGCGGGGAAACAGCCCCGCCATGAGGTCCATCGTTGTCTTCATCCTGGAGTCCGGATCCAAAATGTCGGCCAGGGACCTGTCTCGGTGGACGATCTCCTTGGCCAGAGCCTCTGTTCTGATGTCTTCTGAGGTCTTCTGGCCATGGGCACCGCCTTCCTCTTCTAAACCCTGAGTTCCGCTGGCTGCCTCGTGGCTGAGGCTCTGAGTCCAGGTGGGAGGAGGCTGCACCGGACTTGGCTGCTGGCCAAGGGGCGGAGTGGGTAAGGGCTGACCCCCAGCAGTGGAGGGCAGGGTGGACTCGCTGGGCCCTGACCCTGGGGCCGAAATGTGGGGTCTGGAGTCCAGTCTCTGACTCTCCGCCAGATGGGCTGCACCAGCTACAGGCCTCTCCCTTGTCACTGTCACCTTGGACAGTTTGCTGGAGCTGCTGGGATATTGGGGGGGGGGGGGAGATTAGAAAAGGGTGAAGGTGAGAGAAGGCAGGAGTGTTCCAAGCCAGGGCTGGGGGCTCTGTGTCAGGAGGGGTGAGGGAGTCACCAGGCCCAGTGGCTGCTCCCAGGGGGACCATGGCCCCCTTCGGGACCTGGACTGAGCATGCCGCTGCCAGCTTTCTTTCTTACCTGCCCAGGTGGGCAGAGGGTAGAGGCGGTGGTCGTTCAGAGGAAGCTACCCCATGGGCAGTGCCAGGCAATGCTTTTGGGTGGTGGCCGGCTCACTTGTTCTGGGGACCCCACACTGGGCTTTCAGACAGGAGCCACATTCTCCGAGAGGGGCCCCGTCGGCCGCAGTCACGGGCTGCTTCTGCCTTCTTGAGCTCCCTCCTTTCTCTTGCTCCTTAACCCACCCGGGGCTCGGCCAGAGGAGAAGGGTGGTGCTAACCCCTCAACCTCCTGGGACCGCGGCTGCAAATGAGCCTGTGGGGTTCTGGCGCCCCCAGTGACCAGCAGCTTACCGTGCAGTTTAAGGAAAAGAAAAACCCAAAACACAGGAGAGCTCTCCAGCGGCCCACAGGAGGCCCTAGGAGCCCTGGCAGCTGCAATGTACCGCGCGGAAATGTACCGCGCTCCGGCCTGGGGCAGGGCCCCCCACTCACCCGGGGCTGTCCGTGGGCGCCGCATCGGCCACGTGCGGGGGCGGCGGCGGGGGGAAGTCGTCGGCGCCGTTCGGCGGGGTTTCCTGGCTCAGCGGAGGCGGCGGCGGCGGAGGCGGTGGCGGCGGGGGGAGATCGTCAAACGCGGGGCTAGAGGCGGCCCTGGCGTGCAAGTCCTTCACAAACACGTCGTCATCGTCCCCGTTGTCCCGGGGCGGCGGGGAGGCCCGCAGGGCTGACTCGGAGATCCGCAGCGAGACTCTCCCGGTGGGCGAGCCCGCGTCAGAGGTGCTGCAGGAGCTCGGCAGACTCCGCTGGTTCCCACAGCGCTTCGGGTCCCCGGGAAGGCTGTCCTCGCGGCCCTCCAGGGCCCACGTCGCCCGGGCAGCAGGGGGCCAGTGGGGCGGCGACGCCCTCCTCCTCGGGCCCTCCTCGCCCCCAGGCTCTGGGCGTCGGGCGCTCCTGTGGGCCGCAGCGGGGGCGTGGGGTGGGAGAGGCTGCCATCCCGCCTGCTGGTCGGCAGCGGCCTGGGTGCAGTAACCGGAGGGCACAGGTGAAGGCTGCGGGGAGCTGCGCGAGGCCGGCGGGCCGGGCCTGGGGTCGAGCGGCTGTCCTTGCGCGGCTGTGGGCAGCGGCTGGGGGCACGGCCCCCTGCCCATGTGCCTTTGCTGATCCCCGGCCTCGGGACACTCGCGGGGCGCTGAGGCACCAACGCTGGCTCTGCAGCCTGAGCCGCCCCAGCGCGGGGTAGGCTGGTGGGTGAGCCCGGGCCTCTCTTCGCGGCCTCGTTCTGAAAAGCTCAGTGACCTGGAAGAGGAAGGAGTCGTGAGGCCTCATGCTGCACCACACAGGCCATCGATGGGGAGGAGGGCCGGGTGCAGAAGCCCAAATGCTTGTCTCCCCCTGGTTACTCGGGCGGCCAAGGGAAAGCAGGTAGCACAGGCGGCAGCTCCTGCACAGACAGGCACAGACCGGCACGGCATGCCTGCTCACAGCCACCTGCTCTGCCTGTCTCCCGCACACACCTTCAGGGCAGGCTTCGGGATACTCTGGGAAGCGGCTCCCGCTGGCCACGGCCCGGTCTGCTTGGAAAGCGTGCACCCGGGCTGCTGGGTGCGAGGTTTCCCCCACAGCCTTCTCTTGGGCTCCTGTGTTCTAGTTCACAAGATGACAAATAGAAGAGGGGCGAGAGTCTTGGAAGGACCTAATAAGCAGTTACCTCTGGAGAAGAGGAGGATGTTGACAGGCAAGCAGGACGTGGAGGCTTAGGCCACCGTGCGCCAGGCTGCAGGGAAACCCACAACCCCCAGCTGTGCATGGTGACCGACAGGCTGGCAAATCCAAGACAACCTCCTGCAGCACTCCCGCTGGTTGTGTAGGCGTTAACATGAGGGCAACACAGATACACACACACACACACACACACTAATTTCCCTGTCTCCCTGGTCCATCTGCAGGGCAGATGGCACTGTGCACTCCGCAGAGCTGACTCTCGCAGGGAGCTGTGACTTGGTCAGGATCTGCCACAAACACCTCCCGGCGCCAGGCAAGGGTGAGGCAGCTTAGGAAGGAAACATCACACAGACCAAATCAGCTCTTCTCTCACCTTGGGTGTTTTAATAGACACAGATGGATGAGCACAGGGCCCGGCTCTCTCCCTTCCCATCAGACCCCCTGGCTCGGCTTCTTTACCAGGAACCTCTCCTATGGCCGGCAGGCTGCCCCAGGCAGGGCATCCTCCCGGGTGCAGTCTGCTGCCCGGACAGTGAGTGGTGGAACAGCCCATGTCTCCTCTGCCCCCTGATCCTGGTATGTTGAAACTGAGCAGCCTCTCAGAAGGCAGGGGTCAACTCTGGTGTTCAGTGACTAAGTCAGGTGCCTTTGTCATATCCAGAGACCGCAGAAAAGGGGAGGGCTGGGTGGCTGATGCAGGGGTGAAGCCACCACTTGGGACCCTCACATCCCACAACAGAGTGCCTGGGTTTGAGTCCTGGTTCCACTCTCCATTCCAGCTTCCTGCCCGTGGGCATCCAGAGGCAGTGGGTGGTGGTGGCTCAAGCAGTGGAGTCGCTGCCATCCACTGGGGAGACCTGGATTGAATTCTCCTGGCTTTGGCCTGCCCAGCCCTAGCCTATTTCAGGCATTTGGAGAGTGAACCAGCAGATGGGAGATCTCAATCTCAATCTCGATCTCTCTTTCTCATGCCCTCCACCTGGCTCTCTGCCTTTCAAATACATAAAATGAATCCAAATCGTAAAAGTGGTGCTGTAAATAATTAACATCACTAAGACATACAGTAAAGTAATGTAACACTCACCTCTAAAGGTCCAGCCCACAAAACGCTGATGTTATGTTTTCAGTTTGTTTGACCTTGGTTTGCATGGCCAACACCCAGGTTGTATGCTTCTGAGTTTAACTCTCAGTCTGCATAAATGGCAACTGTTCTGTGTTTTTCAGGAACACAAATTATGATTGAAAAACTTTTTTTGTTTTGTTTTGTTTAAGTCCTTTCTATAATAGGGCGTTAAGAGGCTCCTAGGGCCTGTTGATAGGTATCCAGGAATTCTAATGCTCAAGAATGGATTATCACAGCAATTAGTTTCACCTTTTTAAAGAAGATATGTGGTTAAAAAAAAGTAACATTTCTGGAGCTGGTGTTGTGGCACAGTGAGTTAAGCAGTCACTTGCAATACACTGTCATCCCGTGTGAGTGCAGATTCGAGTCCTGGCTGCTCCACTTCTGATCAAGCTCCCTGCTAAAGAGCCTGGGAAGCAGAAGATGGCCCAAGTGCTTGGGCCCCTGCAACCACGTGGGAGACCTGATGGAGTTTCTTTTTCTTTTTTTTTTTTTTGACAGGCAGAGTGGACAGTGAGAGAGAGAGAGAGAGAAAGGTCTTCCTTTTCCGTTGGTTCACCCCCCATTGGCTGTTGTGGCTGCCGCTGCGGCTGGCACATAGCGCTGATCCGAAGGCAGGAGCCAGGTGCTTCTCCTGGTCTCCCATGGGGTGCAGGGCCCAAGCACTTGGGCCATCCTCCACTGCACTCCCTGGCCACAGCAGAGAGCTGGACTGGAAGAGGAGCAACCGGGACAGAATCTGGCGCCCCGACCGGGACTAGAACCCGGTGTGCTGGCGCCACAGGTGGAGGATTAGCCTAGGGAGTCGCAGCGCTGGCCCCGATGGAGTTTCTGCATCCTGGCTTCAGCTTGGCCCAGGTCCAGTTGTTGTGGCCACTTACGGAGTGGGCCAGCAGATGGAAGATCAATCTCTCTCCCTGTAACTGGCTAATAAATAAATCTTTAAAAAAATTATCTTAATCATTCTTAAATGTGCAGCTCATTAGTATTATGTTCACCTGGTTGTGAACCTGACCTCCAGGAAACTACATCCTGTAAATCTCAAAACTACACCCATTAAATAACAACTCCCACCTGCCACCACTGGTCATCACCACTCTACTTCCTGTTTCTATGAATTCAGCTACTTTAAGTGGACTCATGTGGTGTCCATCTCTGCCTGGCTTGTTTCACTGAGCATGATGTCAAGGTTTTAAAAGAAAGAGTAAGAGGGAGGGAGGGAGACAGACAGACAGACTTAAAGTGAGATCTTACCCTCTGGTTCACTCTGCAAACGTGAGGTGAGGGCCAAGCCAGGAGCCAGGAGCCCAATCCAGGTCTCTCACATGGGGATGGGGGCTAGGTTCGAGAGGGGGCAGGGGCAGGAACCCAAAACTTGAGCCTTCACTGCTGCCAGCCAGATTCTGCATTAGCAGGGAGCTGGAGTCCAGAGCCAGAGTTGGGACATGAACCAGGTACTCAGATATGCAACAACGGGGTCTTACTAAGCTAAATGATGGCTCCCAAGACTTTCTTCCCTTTTAGGGCTACCTAATCAACATTACAACCACATTTTGTTGATCCATTCACCTATGGATGGATGCTACTGTGAATAATGATAATCTCCTTAAGACCCTGCTTTCAGTTCTTTGGACACACGCTAAGAAGTGGCATAAAATTTAACAGTAGTTCTATTTCTAACACCGTGAGGAATCTCCATAATGAGCAGCCTCTAAGAGGGCCGCACCATTTCACATCCCATTAACAGTGCACAAGGGTTCCAATTTCTGCACATCCTTGCCAATACTTATTATTATTATTATTGATAGCTGCCATCCTAATGTGTGTGAGGCGCCATCTCCTATCTCCTGCTGGTCTTAGCTTTGAATTTCTTCGATGATCAGCTGTGTGGAGATCTTTTCATGTGTCCACTGGCCATCTTTGGAGAAATGACTTTTTTTTTTTTTTTTTTGGACAGGCAGAGTGGACAGTGAGAGAGAGAGACAGAGAGAAAGGTCTTCCTTTTGCCGTTGGTTCACTCTCCAATGGCTGCCGCGGCCGGCGCGCTGTGGCCGGCGCACCGCACTGATCCGATGGCAGGAGCCAGGTACTTATCCTGGTCTCCCATGGGGTGCAGGGCCCAAGCACCTGGGCCATCCTCCACTGCACTCCCTGGCCACAGCAGAGAGCTGGCCTGGAAGAGGGGCAACCGGGACAGAATCCGGCGCCCTGACCGGGACTAGAACCCGGTGTGCTGGCGCCGCTAGGCGGAGGATTAGCCTAGTGAGCTGCGGCGCCGGCCTGAGAAATGACTTTCTTGACCACCTTTGACTTCAGATCAGTTCTCTTAAAATAATGAAGTAGTTCACTACTGCTTTTCCTGATTCCACAATTTTAAGCAATGCACCAAAGTAATCAAAGCCCTCAGTCTCATCTTGAATACCAGGTATAAAATAACATAAGCTAACAACATTTACTATTTAAATGTACAGCTGGGAGGCTGACGGTTCAGGGCTGGACTGCTGGCTTCCTGCTCATCCATGCCCTCAGGCACAAGTTGCCTGGTTCCTTATCTCACCTTGTCTTCCAGAGCAGGAGGACCTGGCCAGGCTGGATCTGTGGACCTCACAGACCACCAGAAGGCCTTGGACGGATCAGCGATGAGCCTGTCACCTGACACCAGGGACCTGCAGCTCTTCCTTCCTTGCAGCCCCTGCACAAACCCTAACAGCCTCATCCAGCAGAGCAGTAGTCCTGGAGACCCACCAGTCTGTTACTCTCTCATCGGCCGACAGATTCAATGTTCTCCGTCCTTCACCCCAAAACCTTGTCCCTGTTATTCTGATCTGGCACCAGGGACAGGGACTAAGGTTTGCTAACACCAGGAGCAAGAGCACATGGCTGTGAAGTAGATGATACCCACCACTTCCTGAGCATGTGGGCTGCATCTACCCAACAGAATTTGGTTGAGTGATTAAGAAGCTGAATGTAGGGAGAAACAATATTGAATGAAACACAGGAGAACTTAGGGAACTGAGTTGAGAAACATGGAAAGTAGCAGGGAAGATTTAAGAATATTATTATAGGGGTCAGCGCTGTGGCATAGTGGGTAAAGCCACTGCCCTCATGCCAGCATCCTCTATGGGTGCCAGTTTGAGTCCTGGCTGCTCCACTTCTGATCCAGCTCTCTACTGTGGCCTGGGAAAGCAGCCGAAGATGGCCTGAGTCCTTGGGCCCCTGCATCCACATGGGAGACCTGGTAGAAGCTCCTGGCTCCTGGCTTCACCTCTGCTCAGCCCTGGTCCTATAGTTGAGAGCTCTCTGACGTTGTATTAATACTACATGTAAGGCCTATGCATCAGGGAAAATCCTCTTGGAAATTTCTACTTACTAGAGACATGAATAGTTCAAGATTTCAAATTCTAAAATCCTCTATTATATATTTCCATGCAGGAGATATGATTTTGATGGCAAATTAGAAAATTTTTTTTCTTCACTTTGTTTAAAAGAGAGACTGATCTTCCATCTGCTAGCTCACACTCCAAATGCCTGCAACAGCCAGGGCTGAGCCAGGCTGAAATCCAGGAGCACAGAACTCCATCTGGATCCTTCATGTGGGTAGCAGGGACCCAAGTACTTGAGCCATTACCTGCTGCCTCACAGTGTGTGTATTAACAGGCAACTTGATTGTTAAACAGAGGAGCTGGGACTTGGACCAAGCCTCTGATATGGTATATAGGTGTCCCAAGCCGTACCCCAACAACTGTGTAAAATGTCCACAATTGCAGATTTTTAAAGAAAGATCACTTTTGGGCCAGTGCTGTGGTGTAGCAGATAAAACAGCCACCTGCAGTGGCGGCATCCCATATTGGCACTGGTTCAAGTTCTGGCTGTCCCACTTCCAATCCAGCTCCCTGCTAATGTGCCTGGGAAAGCAGCAGAGCACGGCCCAAGTATTTGGGCCCATGTACCCACATGGGAGACCTGGCAGAAGCTCCTGGCTCCTGGCTTCAGATCAGCATAGCTCCAGCCATTGCGGTCATTTGGGGAGTAAACCAGCAGATGGAAGATTTCTCTCTCTCTGTCTTCCCCTCTCTCTGTATAACTCTGCCTTTCAAATAAACAAACATTAAAAATAACCTTTTTTAAAAAAAGATTTATTTATTTGAAAGGCAGAGTAAGAGAGAGAGAAGGAGAGACAGAGAAGACATTCTATCTGCTGGTTCACCCCCTAAAAGGCCGCAACGACCAGGGTTGAGCCAGGAGCTTTTTCTGGGTTTCCTGTGTAGATGCAGGGCCGCAAACACTTGAGCCATCTTCTACAGCTTTCCTAGGTGCATCAGCAGGGAGCTGTATTGGAAGTGGAGCAGTGGGACTTAAACCAGTGCCCACATGGGATGCCAGTATTGCAGGCCGTGGCTTTGACCAGCTGTGCCACCACACTAACTGATTACTTTTCTTCTACTTTCTATCCCTAAGTGTATAAAAAATTACAGCTCTCAGCATTAGTGTTCACCTCAGACATTTCCTACGAGTGTTTCTTACTCCATGAGGTTTTCAGGAGATACCCATTCCTTCCCTGGCAATTTGGTCACCAAACTCGATCCTCTGTGAGAAGAGCAGCTGCATTAACTGCACTGAGGCCAAGCACACACTCAAAACCCAGGGCGAACAAGAGCTGCTCTTAGAGAGGCGCTTATAAGCCAACAGTCCCCCAGGGCCTGACAAACAGTAGAGGCAGCACACGGCACTGCCTGCTCTCTCGTCACCTCCCACAGCACAGGAGGAGGAGTAGTTTAATGGCACTCACAGTGGATGCATCACGCACGCACACACGTACCTGGACTCAGCGCCAGCCAGGTAACAGGGGTCCTTCACCAGATCGAAGCCACTGTCTTCTCCCAGAAGCACATCCTTGAAACATAAGAAAAATACAACATTATTATTCAACATTATTATACAACATTATTATTCAACATTATTATACAACATTATTATACAACATTATTACCGATGAGCAGGTGCTGAATGCAGTGGAGTACGTGGGGCTGGGGTCAGGAAGAAGGAACACTTATTAAATTAGTGGCCTCTCACCAGGCACGGAGGCAGCAGGTACACACACTTCCCATTTAATCCTTAAAGGTCCAGAAAGTGGTACTAACCCCACGGCACCAACAGGACAGAAGACCAACATCAAAAGTGGCAGTCGGGGTTGAAACCCCAGCCTGTCTCATCAGGTGTGTCCTCCAACAAGGATGCTTCCTGAGCAAAACAAGTCCGATGTCAATTATCTGCAGAGTTCAAAACAACTGCTGTATCTGGACAATGAGGAGGAATGACAGTGAACTCCAGTGCCCAAGCCTATGAAAACGCAATAGGACAATCTGGCTGGTGACAGGAAAAGGATAGTTTATGGAGTCTTTCAAAAATCTCAAAGGTTCTAGGTTACAACAGGCGAACACAGCAATCTGGTGTGTAATCAGAACTCTCTCTGGGGAAAATCTCACCCACATGTGATATTACTAACTGGCGATTTTTCAGGGGGCAGTTTTTGCTTTTGTTTTAAATAAGGGTATATTTTGGTGACCTGCAAGGGTTGATGGTGTGACATTTGGCCCACGTGACCAGGTCCACGATGTTGATGATGAAGCTGTTGCTATGGATGATAATACAGTCAGCTCTCCATGACTTATAATCAGGAGACACCCAATTAATTCTATACACTTGTCTAATCCCTAACATTTAAATAATTTACCTCACCATTTATATTTATGTAATTATTTAAATAATTTATCTCACCACTTACCCTATCCAAAAACTAACTGCTTTTCAATCCTCATTTCATTTTCTAAATCCCCAGTGAGTGGCAGAGGTACCGAGAAGCAGTAGAGTGAGAGGCGGGTTTTTGGTGCAGTGGTTGAATCTCTCTTTGCCACATTGGCACCCCCTACCCCAGCTCCTCCTCTTCCAGTCTAGCTTTCTGCTGATGTACACCTGGGGTGCAGCCAGTGATGCCGTAAGTCCTTGTGTCCCTGCCATCCACAGGGGAGACTCAGACTGTGTTCCCAGCTCTTGACTTCAACCTGGCCCAGCCCTGGTTGTTGCAGGTACGTGGGGAGTGAACAAGTGGAAAGATCTCTGTGTCGTTGTCAAACAAAATGAAAAAAATAAGAGTCCAAGACCACAGCAGGCAGAAGAGAAAAACAAACTCATGAATATTATTAACAAGTGCTGCTGGCCCTGACTGGGTCTTCCAGGTGTACCTAACACTCCTGTCAGTACCTTGCACTCCACGAGTCAGGTGCCTGAAACATGAAGCACTTGACATTTCTTTTGTAATTCAATCTCTGTAACAAGGGTGAGGGGATAATAACGGCAGCTCAGAGGGGTTAAATCTCCTGCCCACGCTTAAGTCAATGGAAAGCCATGGGATTTGAGGCCTTTCCACAGTATGCTGAATGGTGGCGGGGTGGGAGCAACCAGACTTGAATGTGCTTCGAGGAGAACGCACTCTGTGCCTCTGATCACCTTAGGGAATTGGCATTCCTGCACTCCGTGAAGCCTTATGGTCCTTTTAAAGTCTTTCACCACCACTCTGCCTCCAGTTCACATGAATGGGACATTTTTCCATCATTAATTGGAAAAGCCTAGGCCCCACTTGAGCAGCTAATGCAGTAAAGTTTAAATATATTTTTACATCCTATTACACCCTTTGCGCTTCAGTAGGCAAATGAATCTAACTTCCATATTCAGGCATTTTGGCCCCAGGAATGTCAAGGTTAAATTGATATTTATGTGAATGTGCTTAAAGTAAAGGAAGTTAGACCCACTAATAGGCTATTGAGAGAATTCTCTAAATCTCCTGTCAATCAAATTACCATTTGCACAGAAGAAAAATGCCTTTCAACCTAGTAAAAGCTCAAAGAGGATAAATTCTTGTATTTTCCTGCTTTGATTTGGGCAAGCATGGTTTTTTAAAAAATCCATCTCTGTTAACTTTCTGAAGATCCCTTATATTCATGGGTTTCAAAGTGGTTTTTTTTTTTTTTTGGCACCAAAATAAATTTATCTTTTAGTTCCATTTTATTCCACAAACCTTTTGAAGTACCCTTGAATTCATTGTCAAAGAACAGTTAATTTTGTATAAATTGTTAAGAAGTATAAAGTGCTTAGGGCAATCGGAGAAAAAGCAGTGGCTACAGCAGAAATACCAGGCATAGAATTATATTAACTTGGTAAGTATTTGTTTTTGTTACAACACTGCAAAACTGACTCAAAACCACACAAATTCTTAGCATACTTAAGAATGTAAACTAAAGCCCCAATCCCATGTTTTGGGTTCTGAGTTAAGGCATTGTGGTATGTCTGGGACCAATGAAGAATAAAACAATATTCATCTACTTCAGAATGCACATTTGAAGAATCTAAATTACCAATCCATAAAATCTTGTTATTTAAATGTAAATGACAGTGACTGATAGATGTTAAAATGAAATCAATTCGCTGGCTGGATTTGCAGATGTAAGACATCTAACTCTTGCCTCCCTCTCCCCACGCAGCCTCTTTTTATTCAAGGAGCCAGCGTGGGATGGTGACCTCACATTGCTCCCAGCTGCTTGGGCAATTTTGGTTCCCTCTTCTGTAACACGGAAACATTCCCAGATGTGAGGATTCATTTTATACTTGTAAGACACTTAGTACAATGATTGGCACATAGGAAACATTTGATCATTGTTGGATATTTGTAACCTCCCATCTGTGCAAAGTTGATTCTCTCATTTTTGCTCAAGCTTGAATGGGTGCCTGCTGAAAGATGCTCAAAACCATATACAACCTGCATCTCAGAGACTCAAGCCTACACTCAACACAGTGGTTCCATGCCCAGGGCACAGAACTTGCTTAGCAATGAAAGAGCGTTTGTCACCACCTCACAGCTACCGTGCTATTATGCATCAGAAATGAGGGTCCTGAAAACACAGGGAGGACCAAGGAAGCCTCTGACTCAGCACTGGAAAAAGGAAATCCCACCAGGAATCTCGTTTCTCCAAAGGGTTTCTTATTGGATTTATGAGGGGTCTTAGAAACTTCACGAAAGATATGAGTTATGAAGAAACTATGCACAGACTCAAAAACCTTTCTGCATACAAATAAACTTATCTTTTAATTTTATTTTCCCTGGACTTTCTGAAGCACCCCTGTATCATGGAATAGGTGTGCATGTCGTCTCTGGTGTAGAAATCTCTGGACATGTTTCTGAAAGGCCACCCTCTGCAGAAGGCTAGGTTTCTCAAGGCCTCCCAGAAAGGAAGTGCGGGCAGGCAAGAGCTGAGGGCAGGCAAGCTCACTAACATCTGTTGTTCTCACCTTTCAAATGAAGAGCAATGAAAGGCTGCGTGTTTCAGAGAGGACCCTGGGCTGGCTAAGCAATTACCTGAGCAGATGTCGGGCTCCAAGTCACTCCAAAGTTCAACCTTCTGCAGTGGTATTTCAGCCCAGATGACTGACTGCATACACAGGGGCACCCAGTCCCATGATTTTGTTTTGGGGGGCAGAAAGGGTCTGAATTGATGGGATTTGAAAAGAAACTAGCTCCTAGTCCAGAGCTTGTATAATCTGGCCCCTTGAGCATTTGCTTGGCACACAAGCAGCGTTTGGTGGCGATGTCATGTACCCAGCCAGCACTAGGAAGAGACCACATGCTGGCTTTCTCAAGTAGGCTGTCCCACCAGGTCCCTTGTCAGTGTCCCTAAAGCCAGGGGGAGAGAAGGCGTTGTAAACAGACCTTCACAGAGCATGACTGAAAGTGGCAGAGGTCTTAGAGTTTATTCAAATAAAAAAATCAGCATATCTTGAATAATAACCATAAGAGTTACACAGCGGAGTGGGCGTTTAGCCTCGTGGTTCAGACACCCATGTCCTACACTGGAGGACCTGGGTCCGATTCCCACTGCAGCTGCTAACTCTAGTTTCCTACCACTGCAAATCCCTGGGCAATGGTGCAAATAATTCAGTTCCTGTCGTCCATATGGGAGACCTGCACTGAGTTTCTAGCTCGCAGCGGGCATTTGGAGAGTGGACCAATGGATGGGAGCTCTATCTGTCTGTCTCTGTGTCTCTTGGGTAAATTAAAAAAGAAAAAATTTGAAAGTAGGGATAGGCATTGTGACTTGCGGCTCACGCTTCTCCTTGGGATGCCTGCATCTCTTCTCAGAATGCGGGTCCAAGTACCATTTACACGGCTTCCAATCCAGCCTCCTGCTAACACATCCTGGGAGGCAGCAGATGACAGCAAGTGCTCGGGCCCTGCCACTCACACTGGAAACTTGGATGCAGTTCTCAGCTCCCGGCTTCCACCTGGCATGGGTAGTATCTGGGTGGTGAACCACAGGATGAGAGCTATCTCTGCTGCTCCCCAACCCCAACCCCACCATTATATAAGCATTAAAAAGAAAAAAAAGAGGAGGGGGCCGGCGCTGAGGCATAACAGGTAAAGCAGCCGCTTGCAGTGCCAATATCCTTTATGGGTGCCAGTTCGAGTCCTGGCTGCTCTATTTCTGATCCAATTCTCTGCTATGGCCTGGGAAAGCAGAAGATGGCCCAAGTCCTTGAGCCCCTGTGCCTATGTGGGATACCTTGAAGAAGCTCCAGGCTCCTGGCTTTAGATAGGCCCAGCTCAGGCCATTGCGGACATTTAGGGAGTAAGCCAGCAGATGGAAGATCTCTCTCTCTCTGCTCTGCCTCTCTGTAAGTCTGCCTTTCAAACAAAACAAAACAAAACAAAATCCTAAAAGAAAAAAAAAAAAAAAAGTTGGGCCAGCATCATGGTATAGTGGTTTAAACTGCTGCCTACAGAAAGAGCATCCCAAATGGGCTCCTCCGGGAAAGCAGTAGAGCATGGCCCAGGTGCTTGGGCCCCTGCACCCTTGTAGGAGACCTGGATGAAGCTCCTGGCTTCGGCCTGGCCCAGACCTTGCTGTTGTGATCACTTAGGGAATGAACTAGCAGATGGAATCCCTTTCTCTCCCCAACCCCACCCCCAACCCTGCCTTTCAAATAAAATCTTTTTTTAAAAAAAGTATTTGAAAGCCACAGAGAGCAGAAGAGACAGAGACACAGAGACAGAGACAGAGACAGAGAGAGAGAGAGAGAGAGAGAGAGAGATCCATCTTCTATCTGCTGGTTCACTCCCTAAATGGCTGCAATGGCCAGGGCTGGGCTAGTCCAAAGCAAGGAGCTTCTTCCAGGTCTCCCACATGGGTGCAGGGGCCCAAGCACTTGGGTCATCTTATGCTGCTTTCCCAGGCACATTAGCAGGAAGCTGGATTGGAAGTGGAGCAGCTGGGACTTGAACTAGTATCTGAATGGGATGCCAGCTTCACAGGCAGTAGCTTAATTGCTACACCACACCACTGGTCCCTAACTAAATCTTAAAAAAAAAAAAAAAAAGTGCCAGTGCTGTGGCATAGCAGGTAAAGCCCCAGCCTGCAGTGCCTGCATCCCCTATGGGTGCCAGTTTGAGACCCAGCTGCTCTACTTCTGACCCAGCTCTCTGCCTATGGCCTGGGAAAGCAGTAGAAAATGGCCCAAGTGCTTGAGTCCCTGTACCTGTGTGGGAGATCCGGAAGAAGCTCCTGGCTCCTGGCTTTGTATTAGCTCACCTCTGGCTATTGCAGCCATCTGGGGAGTGAACCAGCAGGTAGAAGACCTACCCCCCCCCCCTCTCTCTGCCTCTCCCTCTCCCTCTCCCTCTGTATAACTCCGACTTTCAAATAAAACACATAAATCTTTTTTTAAAAAAAGGTAGTTACATGGTGAGACTACATTTTTGTTTTTAACTAGTTCTGCTGTAACTACAAATTAGACGGTGATGAGGATTCAAGAAGCAGACCGTGCCCTCAGCCATCTCTCTGGTCAGGCTAGGTTTGATTGCTGGGTACAAGAAGGATCTCAAGACTATAACTCTGGCCAGAGATGAGGATCTATTTGCAGAATTTGCTGGAACAAAGCAGCACCAAAGAAATCACTTTCATTTTGAAATATTTTTCCCCATAGCTTCACAGTGCCCAAATTAAATAAGGCCTAAATACAGTATTCCCTTTATTAAAGGAGTGCCTAAGTACTGTTCTATATTCAATTGTCTAAAAAGTTTTTTTTTAAAAATGTATTGGGGCTGGTATCACACATAGAGTGCTGGTTTGAGTTCCAGCTGCGTTGTTTCCAATACAGCTCCCTTCATGCACCTAGAAAGGCACTGGAAGATGGCGGAAGTATCTGGGCCCCTGATACACATGTGGAGACCCAGATGGAGTTCCTTGCTCCTGGCTTTGGTCCCAGACCTGATTGTCGTGGCCATTTGGGGTATGAACCAGTGGTAGAGTAATCTCTCTCTCTTGTTCTGCCTTTCAAATAAATAAATTTTTAAAAATATATAAAGCATTCACTGGGATTTTAAAGAATCTCTTTAATTCTCTGTAATATCTATGTTTTAGCTTAGTTCTCAATTGGCCAAGCTTGAGAAATAATTTTGGGGAAAAGGCAAGATAACATTCATAATTCCCCAAGTCAGTGTGACAACGCCTAATGAGGAGACAATTTGGCTTTCATGTAAACATGTCATTTTTCTGTAGAACAAGGGGACAGAAAAGCAAACGACATTTGGATTGCTATATAGAAAGTTACTGACATCCATCCCACTAACTGAAATTGCAAGCTACACATATGGATTTAATTTTAATGGTAGGGCAAGCAATGTGAGTGAGCTCTGTTCTTCACCCCAAAGGGAGTAAAATGGCTATTGAAGGCTTATGCAATTGACTCCACAGATTTTCTTCTGCAGGTTTATACCTGCAGTAGTGGGGAGACACTACTTCAAGCTGTACAGAAAACTACTCAGCCAGTAACGGTGGCTCTTCCGGCTTCCTTCAGACAATGCCTCCTCTCCCCTCTCCACATGCCTCCCACCCCTTAATAACATCCTGCCCATCCTTTACAGCTGGGTCAAACCCCACCTCCTTAAAGACCGGTTCTCTCAGCTCTCTCATTAGCATCAATCGCTTCTCCTTCCCCCAGCATATTATGTATTACCATCTCCATAGCATTCACCAGTCTCAGAGGAGCGAGCTTACATCCCTTGCTCCCTTGCAAATCCCCTGAGAGGCATGAACCTTAGCTTTTCCTTTGTGTTTCCTTCACCCCTGTAACACTGTATTTTCATTAACAAGTGCTTTACGAATGCTGGAGGCCTCTGCAGGGGAAACCAGAACCTGGGGAGGCAGGCATTCTCTCTCTCCTGCGCCAACACACATGTAGGTTTCCAGTATCCTCACAGGTGAGAAGGGAACCCCGAGGCAGGCTCACCATCTCCAAGGTGAAGTGGAGCCTGCCCATGGCTCCAGCGTCGGTGAAATGAAGAGACTCCTAGAAGTCACAGCACTTCATCACAGCTGCTTGCGCAGTTCCGAGTTTTTATCACAAAGAAATTTCTTTTATGTGAGATTTTGAAAGCCTGATGTTCCTACAACGCCAGGAGAGTGCACAAAAGGAGCTCAGAGGGGCGGGGGCTGCGGCTTAGCGGGTGAAGTCCCGGCCTGCAGTGCCCAGCTCGGGTCCCAGCTGCTCCACTTCCCATCCAGCTCTCTGCTATGGCCTGGGAAAGCACCCACATGGGAGGAAGCTCCTGGCTCCTGGGTTCGGATCCGCCCAGCTAGGGCAGCTGCCGCCAATCGGGGAGGGAACCAGCAGTTGGAGGACCTCTCTCTCTCTGCCTCTCCTCCCTCTGTGTAACTTTGACTTTCAAATAAATAAATAAATCTTAAAAAAAGAGGGGGGGAGCTCAGAGACGTGGATAATGTCAAATAATAAATAAAATTTATATATTTATATCTCTGTGGACACTGAGAAGGAAATCACCCAATGAAAACAAATGCTACTTTTCCTGCATTTAATAGGAAAATGAAAAGGAGCGAGGGGAGGGCTTCTGGGGCCACAGCGACAGAACTAGGTCGGGACCAGCGGCCGCACGTACCTGGCGCTTCTGGTCTGCGGTGGGCGACGAGCGGGACCTCACGTGCACCGGGGCGGCCAGCATGTCCGAGCGCTCCAGCAGATCCTCGGCTGACGCGGACTTCCCGGCCCTGCCGGCCGTGGAGCCCGTGTAAGACGGCCCCCCCGGGGTCCCGTCCAGCCACTGGATCCCCCTGGGTCCACCGCGAGCGCCACTCAGCAGCTCTCTCGGGGTCTGGGGGTCCGCGCGTCGTCGCTCCCCGAGGAGGCGACCGCCGGCGAAGGAGCCGCTGCGATCCCGGGGGCCCCGCAGCTGCAGCTCCGAGGCCTCCCTGCGGGGCTGCGGGGCCGGCTCCCGCAGCGAGCTCAGGCTGGTGGCCGAGGCGAGCCCCGGGCCGTCGAGCGCTGCGGGGCCCGGCGCGAGGTAGGTGCTCTGGGCGCGCTCCCGCAGCGGCGCGGGCTCCTGGGGGCCGCCGGCCGCGGAAGGCCTGCGGCCCGTCTTGCGCTGGATGTAGTCGGCCAAGGCGCTCTGCTGGAACTGCTTCAGCTCGGGCCCCGACAGGCTGAGCGTCGAGGAGGCCCTTCCGTCGCGCTCGAAGACGCGGCGCCGGTCGGCCACGGTGCTCTCGGGGAAATGCAGCCCTTTCCTGGGCGGGCCCGCGGGCGCCGGCTCGGCCTCCTCCGAGACGCCCACCTCGTTCATCTTCTCGGGCTCCGAGTAGGAGCGCTTCTTCTGCTCGGGGGTCAGGCGCCGGCGCGCCCCTCGCCGGGAGGCCTGGAGCGCGGGCCGGCCCGCGTCGCCCTCAGCCGGGCTCACGCTGTGGCGCTCCCGCGGCGTGTGCGGCGACGCGGCCGCGTGGGCGTTGGCGTGGGCGGGCGCAGGCGCCTCGGGGCTGCGCTGCCCGACGTGGGCCGAGGCCGGCCGCGGCCGCCAGGGCCTGGACGCCCCGGGCGCCCCCAGCTCGAGGTCGCGGCGCCGGAAGGAGGTGGCCCCCAGGACGCGGGATTGCGCGTCCTTGATGCTGTTGCGGTAGGCGCGGCTGAAGGGGGCGTCCAGTGGGGGCGACTCGGGCGTGCTGGGCCGAGCCTCCCGCCAGGAGGCCTCCTCTTCCTCCTCGGCCTCGCTATAGAGCTGATAGGTGCTCTGGCTGCGGAGCAGGCGGGCGTCGGGCCTCGGGGGCTCCCGGGCCCAGGGTGCAGGGCCTCGGCCCCCCGCGCTGCCCCTCCTCAGCTGCCACGAACTCTCTTCCAGCCGGGGCTCCCCGTTTCCAAAATGTAGCTCCCCGTTACCCAAGGACTCAGCAGACTCGGAGAACCGGACGTCGGCTTTTGTCTCCTCCAGGCCATTCGCGGAAGGATTGGAACTTGGGACGGTCCTGTTGGGCCTGTGGTGATGGCTGTAGCCGGAGCTGCCCACACTCGGGGCTCTCTGGCTCCCCAGCTCTCGCTGCTCGATCTGGGACACCTTCTCCAGCACCGAGCTGTGGGGCTTCCCGTACTGAAGGCCCTGCAGGGCAGAGGCGCTGCCGGAGCTGAGCCTCCTCCGGCCCAGACTGGGTGTCTGCTGGTGTGTTGGGCTCGGCGGCTCTCCGGATCTCGGGTCTGAACTGTGGAAGCACGCCGAGGCACTGGTTCTCCCCTCTGGCCTCGGATAGGACACCGACCTGTCCAGGGAGCCCCTGTGCTCCGGTAGGGTCCTCCTTCCAGGGTCTTCCACCGTGGCGTTGGCTGCACAGGTGAGCCTGCCACCGGCGCCTTCCTCCGCTCCCCCTCCTAGATCCAGGCTGCTTTGCTTTCTTAGACTGTCAGGAATGTTCTGGAGAGAGGAGAAGGCTGACAGGGTCTTGCCAAAGCTGGTGGACAGGCCCTGGCCTAGGCCTTCTCTGTCCAGCCTGCGCCGGAAGTTGGCATTGTAGTCTTCCCGGAAGTCAGCCTCCCAGGGTTCTGAGGGCCTGGAAGATGGCTTGTCCTCCCCCACAGGCCGGACTGGAGCCAGAGGGGATGGGAGGCCGTAGTGATTAGAACATGGCTGGTGGCCGTGAGTGACCTTTCTCTCACTGGGATAGGCGCTGCTGCCTTGGGGAGGGGCCAGAGCTCTCTTCTGGGAGATGTCCTCGTCGTTTTCAGGCACTGAAGAGAAATGGACCTTGTAGGGAACGCATTTGGCTGCAGTTTCTGGTTTCCTCTCCACGGAGGACAGTGGATCATGTTCGAGAGGCTGGTAGAAGGCAAACCCAGGCCTGCTAGCCCCATTTTGGTTCCCATTCTCATCAAAGGAGGCCGCCTTGCCGCCTGCCCCCCGAGGGGCTGTGTGTGCTGTCTCCTTGGCCAGCACAGGGTAGAGCACGCCGTTACTGCTCACAGGAGGCTGAGGCACCTGGGCGAAGTGTGGCTCCAGGGAAGGCACGGGGTAGATGCCGGTGGGCAGCAGCGGCTGGCCAGGCTGGGCCTTCTGGGTGTAGTGGTGCTTGGGCACCGCGGGAGGGCTGTTCTCTGGACTCTTCTCTAGCACCGTGTGCAGCTGTTCCTCTCCGAATGTAGATTTTAGGGAGCCCGAGTTTGTTTGAGGCCGGCAGAACCGTTTCTGCTCTAGGCTGGACCAGGAGCTGGGGCGCTCCCGCTGCCGAAAGGCCGCGTAGCTGTCACTCCGAGCTGGTGGCAGCGGTGCGCCCGCTTTCAGGGGCGGGTTGTCAGCGGCAGTCTCCAAGGAGCCGGGGCACGGCTGGCTCCAGGAAGGGGGTGGCGCTCCCTTGCCCCGGGGAGCACTGTGCCATTTCTCATAGCCCTGGCCATCTGCTGGTGCTCGGGTCTCCCGGGCTGGATGCAGCAGGGCGGAAGAGTTCACCTCGTACTCTGCCGAGACTCCCCGCCGGGTGTCATAGACTGTCTTGACGTAGCGAATGTCTGCCTGCCTCATCCCTTCTAGGAGGCCACCTCGTGCAGACGTCGTGTCCATGGAGCCTGAACGCTCCCGGCCAGAGATGCCAGGGGGTGGGTACTCCAGGATGCTGGAGCTGGTGGAGAAGGAGCTGTAAGCGGAGTCTCTCTTGTTATGCAGGTGGCTGAGCTGGTCAATGCTGCTGGTGGACTTGGCAGGGGAAAGAAGATGGCAGGCTGGGTACCCGCCACTGGGCTCCAGGCTCTCCATGCTGCCCTGGGAGCTGCACTGGTCAGGGCTCCGCCTCAGATAAGCGTGGTCATAGCTGGAGAGGTCACTTGTAGAGGAGCTGGAAGAAGAGGAGACAAAGCGTCAGCACTACTGAGCTTACCATGTAGCGGGCTTCCAGGCGCAGGCCCAGCTTATAAATGTACTCTTATGCAAGATGTTTGGGTTTGCGAAGGGTAGGTAAAAAGGGCCATATTTGGGCCTTGCTCAGCGTCCCAGTGTGTCATCACTTGGAGTTAACTGCCCGGCACTGTAGCCTTTGTGCCTCTAATTAATCACCCATGCCTGCAAGGCCAGGGGCGAGAGTGCCGAGGAAGCCGTGTGGCCCCTGGCCACTGGCAGCAGGCACGCCAGTGCAATGCGCTAAGTGCTGGAAATGACATTCTGCACATTCTGAGAAATGAGAGCGGTAGGGGAAGAAGAAAGAGAGGATGAGGAGGAAGAGTGACTTTTGTGTCTACTGGGGATGTTTGTGGGAAGAAAAAGCTTAGTAAGAGAAGAGGCACGTGAATGGATGAGGGAGACTCTGCACACAGCTATGTTTTTGGTTAATATCTTTCCTTTTTATGGAATTGGAGGCTACACTCTGGCAATCCTCCTGGAATCTCAGCTGTATAGAGACAGTTTGTTTGTGGTGAGGAAGCTCAACTCAAAGCTGAATGACAGAAATAGAGAGAAATCAGAGCTAGGAAAAGCTGATGAGAGGCAGAGAGGCAGAGAGGGAAGGAGGCTTGGTGAGATGCCAAGAGGCTCTTAGAGGCTGGGATTCCGGCCCCTATGGACGACTTCCCAAAGGCTAAGCAAAGCCTCCTGTACATTCAGGAGGGGAAGACCTCGGTTGAAGCTGAACCGGGGGACTTAGAGCCTGGCCTGCAGTGGGGGTGGGGAGGGGGCAGGGAGAAAGAGGAAGACGATTCTCAATCCTGGCGTTGCACACCCCAGAGAGGTGCCTCAAAACGGAATTGCTTAGCAATAGCTTTTAACTCAGGTTTGTGTTTTAGATTGACAGGCAGAGTGGACAGTGAGAGAGAGAGACAGAGAGAAAGGTCTTCCTTTGCCGTTGGTTCACCCTCCAATGGCTGCCATGGCTGGCATGCTGCGGCCGGTGCACCGCGCTGATCCGAAGGCAGGAGCCAGGAGCCAGGTGCTTTTCCTGGTCTCCCATGGGGTGCAGGGCCCAAGCACCTGGGCCATCCTCCACTGCACTCCCTGGCCACAGCAGAGGGCTGGCCTGGAAGAGGGGCAACCGGGACAGAATCCGGCGCCCCGACCGGGACTAGAACCCGGTGTGCCGGCGCCGCTAGGCGGAGGATTAGCCTAGTGAGCCGCGGCGCCGGCCCTTAGCAATAGCTTTAACTATTAACTCAAAAAATATTCTTCAGTGAAGAACTAAATCTCAGCAACCGGGGGTGGTGTCCTGGCACAGCAGGTTAAACCGCTGCTTCGTATGGGCAACGATTTGAGTCCTAGCTGCTCCACTTCTGATCCAGCTCGCTGCTAATGCTTGGGCCCCTGCCACTGACGTGGGAGACCTGGATGAAGCTCCTGGCCATTGCAGCCACTTGGGAAGTGAACCAACAAATGTAAAATTCTCATTCTCCTTCTCTCCCTCTCTCTGCCCCCACCTTCTCTCTCCCCTTCTGTTTCAAAGATTTTTCAAAAACTCAATAACTAAGCAATCAACTTCACTTAAAAAGACCTCAACAGACTCTCATCTGCTGCCGGTGGAAATCCAAAGTAGTACAGCCACTGCGGAAGACGGTTTGGTGGTTTCTTACACAACCAAACACTCTCTTAGCATACAGTGACTGCTGCCCAGAGGAGTTGGGAACTTCTGCCTGCACACAGATGTTTACGGCAGCTTTATTCATAACTGCCAAAGCCTGGAAGCAGCCAAGATGGTCTTCAGTAGCTGAACGGGTGAAGTACAGTGCATGCAGACACTGGGGTACTCATCACACTGAAGAGAAATAAGCTCTCAGGCAGTGGAAAGACATGGCAGCAACTCAGAAGGCAGGTTACTAAGTGGAAGGAGCCAATCTGAAAAGACCACATGACGCTGCAGAAAAGGCAGTGCGATGGAGACAGCGAGAAGATCAGGGAGAGATGACTAGGTAGAGAAGAAGACTTTGTGGGGCAGGGAAACTATGTTATATGAATATGATAATGTAGATAAGTCATTATAAACTTGCCCAAACCCATAGAATGTACAACACCAATGGTGAACCCTAATGTCAACTATGGGCTTCTGGTGATAATGCTGTGTCAACATTAGTTCATCAGTTGTAACACGGGTACCACTCTAGGGGCGAATGTTGAAGATGGAGTAAATACATATATGGGGGACAGGAAGTACCTCTCATGCTATAAACTTAAAGCTGCTCTAAAAAATAAAGCCTTGAAAAAAAAATGTGTGTACATGAAGACGCTTCAAAAAGTTCATGGAAAGTGCATATTAGGAAAAAACTATGTGTGGATTTCAAGTAATTTTTACACAAAAATAAATTTATGTTTTAGTTCCATCTTTCCATCAGTGAAGTACCCTCCCATGGGGAGGCTATATTGGGAAGATTAAGTGGTTCAAAAAATAAACAAGAATCTCCGTATATCAAACATTTATGACTCACTTTTCTGTAAAGAGGAAATTGCTAAGGGTTCTTGCCCAAGATTTTCCATTTTTAACTGGATAGGTATTTAAGCAGTACTAAAACCATGCCGGTATTGGGACGTTTCTGGGTCTCATGTAAGTCAGTGTGGTGTCTTATTGGCCAAGTGTGTGGAAATGGACTATCTCCAGGGACTATGTCAAGAGACTAGAAGGGCCAGACTCCAACTCAAAAACTAGTGCTGGAATTCAAGAAAAGGCCACAATTTCAGGAGCTCACCTCAAGAATACAATTCTCTTCCATCAGAGGGAATGAGTCTATTGGATGGAACATCCTGCCTTGAGAGGGGCAGGCGTAACTGAAAGGGGACTTGGACTTGGCAGTAGCACTGCGTATGTCGCAGCCAGACTTTCTCATCCTCACCACTAACCCCAACACACAAATCCCCTGTAACTGAAGAGGTTGTATTAAGAAAGCATGGGGGGCCGGCGCCGCGGCTCACTAGGCTAATCCTCCGCCTAGCGGCGCCGGCACACCGGGTTCTAGTCCCGGTCAGGGTGCCGGATTCTGTCCCGGTTGCCCCTCTTCCAGGCCAGCCCTCTGCTGTGGCCAGGGAGTGCAGTGGAGGATGGCCCAGGTGCTTGGGCCCTGCACCCCATGGGAGACCAGGAAAAGCACCTGGCTCCTGGCTCCTGCCATCGGATCAGCGCGGTGCGCCGGCCGCAGCGCGCCGGCCGCGGCGGCCATTGGAGGGTGAACCAACGGCAAAGGAAGACCTTTCTCTCTTTCTCTCTCTCTCACTGTCCACTCTGCCTGTCGTAGCAGAAAAGCCCCTTTCTTGTGCAGATAAAAAGAACAGAACGCATGGGGTCTGGTGCTATGGCATAGCGGGTTAGGCCACTGCCTGTGGTGCCGGCAGCCCATATGGGTAACGGTTCAAGACTGGCTGTTCTACTTCCGATCTAGCTCTCTGCTATGGTCTGGGAAAGCAGTGGAGGATGCCCCGGGTCCTTGGGGGCCCCTGCACCAGCATGGGAGACCCGGAAGAAGCTCCTGGCTACTGGCTTCAGACTGGTGCAGCTCCGGCCCTTGCGGCCAATTGGGAAGTGAACCAGCAGATGGAAGACCTCTCTCTCTCTCTCTGCCTCTTCCTTTATCTGTCACTCTTTCAAATAAATAAATCTTAAACAAACAAACAAACAAACAAAAAACATGGACTAGCTCTGCTGAGAATAAAAAAATCGCAGACAACCCTTTTGCTTCCTTTCCTCTCCTGTATCAGAAGAGTCACAGCCAACACTAGGGGAGATGGAGACAGCCGATCCTGTAAGGGCTGCTTCACTCACCAGTTCTGTTCTGGCAGTAGACACTATTTAATCCTCCTCCCAAGTGCTAAGAATTTCAGCACTTCACTGAGACGACAATGAAAAGCTAACTTAGGAACCAGCACACACAAACATCAGAGTGAATAAACCGATAGGTAACTGAAACCCTCTCTGTTGAGTGGCAAGAGGCCATCCCTGACCTATCTCCAAATACAGAGGATATCTGGAAATAGGAAGTGACGGAGCAAGGTTCTAGGGGTTCCCTCCTGGAGCAAACCTCAGCCAGAAAACATCGTGTGGGGCTTTGTGAGGTGCCCAGGAATGGCTCTGCCCCACGAACTCCCCAAGCTGCCTGGGGAATGCGGGCCCCCAAGTCACCCCCAAGGCTTCGGTTCTGCTGTCTGGACATACTCACTTCGATGAGCTCCACCATTCCTGCTTCCGAGACGGCATTTGCAGTGGTGAGCAGGCGCAGCTTGGGGTGAGCGTCTGCAGTCCTGCAGCAGGACCAACCCCACCAGGGCGGCCTTACGGTCCAGAAGAACGCATCAGAGAGGGGCAGCTTCTTACCGTGGCCTGGCCACGTTCCCAGCCACCTTTTCTCTTGCTCTGGCTCACTGCACTCCAGCACGATGCTTTCCTGACTGCAACTCAAACCCAAAGACACATTCCCCGCCCCGGGCCTCAGGGCCTTCTACCTGCTGCTCCCACCACTGGAATGCTCCTCACTGGCTCCCTCCCTGCTTTATTCCTATGTCCGCCTCAGGGAACACTTCCTGGAACTAAGGAAACAGAATCTCTGCTCCCCTTACTCCTTGTTCCTCTGCTTTTCTCATAACACTTAGCACCACGTGATGTCATCACATCCCCTTGGGTAACAGGAAGGAGAGTTCAGTTGGACCTATGACGTTTAAGGGACTAAAGTGCACTTAACGATATGTTTGCTGATTCTGTGGTAGACACATGTTCCTTAATTATCGATTATGAATATAAAATATACTTAAATATTTTTAAAACATACCAAAGAGCACAAGTATTTGAACCCATTTCCTAAGGTGTACTCACAAAATGACAATTTCTCAGATGATCAAGTATGTTTGGAAAAATCTGGGCTAAATAAGTTAAACAGTCTTACTTATTAAAGTCTTCCAAGTCTTTCATAAATTGCCGTTCATGTGCCATTGTAAATGGGAACTACACTAAGTGTGTTTTTCAAATTTTTTTCCAAGGAGTGTCAAATGCGCTATCATTCCATGGAACACACACTGAGAAACAAATCATTGTAGGCTGGGGCTTTTTTTATATCTGGTTCACCACTGTACCCCCAATAATCAGAAATCATCTGAGACAAAGTAGGTACTCATACATGTTTATTGACTAAGAACTGGCACTTTGGTATCTTCTTTTTTAAAAAAGCCTTTTTACTTGAGAAACAAAATGAAAGAGACAGAGCTACTGCCTGCTAGTTTACCTCCCAAGTGCCCTCACTGACCAAGGTTAGGCTAGGACAGAGGCCAGGAGCCAGGAATTCAATTTGGGCCTTCCTCATGGGTGGTAGGAATCCAATTACTTGAGCCATCACTTACTGCCCCTCAGGTTCTGCATTAGCAGAAAGTTGGAATTAGGAGCAAGAACTGGGTATATAACCCAGGCATTCTAATTGGGGTGCAACCAGCATAACTGCTAGGCTAAATATCGGCCCAATTAAAAAAAATTATTTTAAGAAAGTATTTTATTTTACTTAATATAGAGCTGGCCGTCTGTATATAAAAATTAAAATGAATCTTAATGAAGAATGGGATGGGAGAGGGAGTAGGAGGTGGAGCAGGAGTTGGGGGTGGGAGGGCAGATACGGGAGGGAAGAACCGCTACATTCCTAAAGTTGTACCTATGAAATTTATATTCATTAAATAAAAGCTTTCTAAAAAAATTTATTTCTTTGAAAGGCAGAGTTACACAGAGAGAGGGAAAGACAGAGAGAGTCTTCCACTGGCTGGTTCACTCCTTTAATGGCCACAACAGCCAGGGCTGGGCCAAGCAGAAGCCAGGAGCCCAAAGCTTCATCTGGGCTTCCTACGTGGATAAAGGAGTCCAGGCAAACAGGCCATCTTCTGCTGCTTTCCTAGGCACATTAGTAGGAGCTGGGTTGGAAATGAAGTAGCTGGGACTGAACTGGTGCCCAAATGGGATGCCAGCACATTGTAAGCGCCATGACACAATGCCAGCCTCCCCCAATTTATTTAAAAACTTTTTTTTTTTTTTGCAGAGCCAGAGAGAGAGAGACAGGGCACTTTGGTATTTTTATACTTTATTTCAGCCTCTTGATGGGGCTGGGCTACATGATTTTTTCAAGGTCTCTCCTGAGGTGTGTGTATATATACACACACACATCCTGTATCAAAGTGCCTGGGTCAGAACCCTGGCTGTGCTGTGAATCCAGCTTCCTGCTAATGCACACCCTGGTTCAGGTACTTGGGTTCCTGCCACTCATGTGAGAGCCCCAGATGGATTTCTGGACTCCTGGTTTCAACCTGGATCAGCCTTGGCTGTTGCAGGCATTTGGGGAATGATTGGCAGATGGAAGATCTCTCTCTCTTGCTCAACCTGACAGCCCCCCTCCCCATGCTCTGCCTTTCAAATAAATAAATTCAATTTTAAAATTTAAAAGAGTATATTAATAGTTCAGTACCACTCTGTGAGATTTCTGCAGGGCAGGTGAAGACAGGGACAGGGTCTGAGAGGAAGCAGCTGAAACGAGATTTCAGGGAGACTCCAAGTCCAACCCAGCTTGCAGACACTTGCAGTCCATGTCCTCGTCTCTCCGCCCCTCCCCAGTCCTCCTGCTCCCTCATACCCCTCCTTCTTCACGAGTGACAGTCCCACAGGTTCAAGACAAGACTGGGTCTCCAGAACTAAGCTAAGGCTGTTGGGGAGGATCCCAGCTGACTGATCTGGCACACCACACCACTAGATGCCACCGTGCTCCCGAGAACACACCGGAGCACTTCTCTGGTGGCAGCTGCAAACATCAGACCCAGGAGAGGACCTCCAGGTTGGGGTGGAGCCCCCTGCCAGAGCTGCGAGCCTGGGGCATGCCTGGGGTGCTGTGTGCTGCAAGCAGGAATGAATACACACTCAGGCAGCCCTTGGGGGTGATCTGGGTGCCTGCCTGCCTTCCTTCCCCATGCAGTGCTCTATGCCAGCAGGAGGAGCCACCTTGGAACATGAGTCAGACAGTCAGGATGTAGAAACAACACAAGGGCAGATCAGCCGGCCGCAGCCCCTCTGGAGGCTGGCGTGGGGAGGAGGAAGAAGGAGGTGGAGAAATGGAGGCTCAGGACATTCTACCCAGCCTGCTGCAGATCACCAGGGGCACTGGAAGCAGTTATCCTAAGCCCGTCTGCAGGCCACAGTAGTCTGTCTGCTGCTGGAGGGTCAGGGCATTTTTAGGGCACAGTGTGATTTCAGATTCAGGGTTTCCTAGGAAGGTTAGAGGTTAGGAGGCTCCGAAGGACACCACTGTTTTGGGGTGATATTAAACACACCTGCATTTATGAGTATGTACTCACTGGGGCCACTGACCTTCAAGTTCCTTTCCAGGTTTCACCATACCTCTGTCTTTAGCCTGATTATTATAATTAGTTGTCACTTATCAAGTGCTTCCTCTGTACCAGGAACCGCACTTGTTATTTTATTTAATTCTCACAGTGCTCTAATGAAAACAGGTACTATTAATTTCATTTTGCAGAAGAGGAAGCCAAGATCCAGGAGGTTCAATGATTTGTTCAAGCTGAGGCAGTAAGTGGTGATACTCAGATTTACACTGAGTCTGACATGAAAGCCGAGAACCTTCCATTGTGCCTTTCTTCGTTCGAACCCTAAGGTTCCCTACGTCTTGCCTTCTGAAAACCCTAACACCTCTGTCCCATAAAGCAGAAGCAGTGTGTCTTTGAGAAGCAATCCTTCCAGGGTGACCGGGAGGACACGGGTAAAGGAGAGTATCTCTTCCTGTGGCCCGAGGCTATCCTGCTGTGTTGGGAGAGCTTTACCCTGTCCAGGTCCATGAGACATTGTCCGCCCCCGAGAGGCCCAGGATTTGACCTGTGACTCAACCAGATGGGAGTATTCAAGGCCTGACTGAGTTTGGGCCTTGCCAATGCACAGACACCATCTGTTCATCGTTTCAGAAGCTGCCTGCACCCCTACCCCAGCATACATGCACACACACACACACATGCACACCAGCACTTGGGTCTCATTTGTATGCAGGGACTTGAGATGGCCCTTGTCCTCTTGACCTTCTCACCTCCTTCCGGTTACCTTTCTCCAAGCATTTCCTGAAAGTGAAAAGCTACAGAGTCTGATTCCCTGGGGTCAGAGGACAGGCCCACTCTGCAGGAAGCGTGGGGAGTCCTGATCGCGTTCTGGCTTTCTTACGCCTGGGTGGCCACGTTTGGCTTCTTTTCCCCAGCTCCTCTTGATGGTCTCAGTCCTGTGATAGATCCCTTTTCCTGTAACACTCACAGTAGCTCCTGCTTTTCCCTGATGGAACCTCCAGTCACACAGACCTCGACCATGAAAGCAGAGGAAGTACAGCTTAGCCATTCCATGCAATGGCTTTGCGACCTGGTCTGGGTTTGTCTAGACTCAGGTCCTGGTCATTCATTTGACTTTGGACAAATTCATCTATGCCTCAGTTTCTCATTCTGTGAAGTGGGGTTACTAATACTGTGTGTGTTTTGGAGAAGCAGGTGAAAGATTACAGGAGGTACAGACACACTGCGCATTTCTCAATGCGAGGTGCTGCTGCTGTCGTAACTAAGCTGGGAAAACTGCCTTAACAGGGAGAGAAACCGAGCGGAGCGTTCAAATGCCTAAATGAGACCATTCAGATAAAAACCAGATGCAATTCTGACTAACGAGACGGGACACTTACACAACCAGGGACGGAGTCGGCCACTTTCCCTAATGTGGTGTTACCGTATGTACCCGGAAGATGTCTGAGAATTAGTGGATGCCACAGATATCCCAGTGACCTTCCAGTGGTCAGAGTAACTCTGGTGCCTCTTCGCATCGATCCAGCCTGGGAGAGCAGGACGCTTGGCCTTTTAAGAGGCTGAGAAAGGTCGCACACAGAGATCTAGTACTTGGGGTGCATGTCAGGAGATGTTCTTGAAACAGAAGAGAGTGAGTTCACTTCTGAGAACACCCCATTTGAAAGTAGGAAACCGCAGGGTCTCGGCTGCAGCCACTCACCTGGAATGGTAGCTTTGGTGCCAAGGAGGACCAATCGTGCCCTGAGATACCTGCATCATGCTGGCATCGGCTCGGGTCTCCCCAGATCTGGTCGTATGCCACGAGTGGGGGCGGCCTGCAGGTTCACCACGCCTGGGGAAACACAGAGGACACATGTTTCCAGCATTAGCTCAGTCTCCCACTGTTGTCACTTGTGGATTTGGGAGCACAGACTGCCATACCCTCTAGATCAGGAAGCAACCAAGTAAAATACTAAACAGAATATTTCTGAACTTCTTTCTCTTACAAATCATTGCTATTCTCTGCTTAATTAGTAGTTCAGTTCTTATTTTGACATAACTCCAGACTTACATAGAAATGTCACAAAAATCAGTACAAAGACTCCCTACACAACCTTCACCTAGATGTCTGATGTGTTAGCATTTTATGTTTTGCTAACGTAAACCACATGGAGCTCTGCTCTTGGTCTCTGAGGGCACTTCAGAAAGTTCATGGAAATTAAAAATAAGTTATTCCGGTGGCTGAGGGTCTTCAAAAAGTTCACAGCAAAAGTGCATTATGAAAATACTTTGCATGCATTTCAAAACTTCTTTCACCACACAAAATTTATATTTTAATTCCCTATTTCTGTGAATTTTTGGAAGAACCCTCATATATACCCATGTAGAAACAAGGAGCACCGATTCCTTTCCCCTTCCCAAAGGCCTTTGTGTGAGATGAAGGTTTGCAGGAGATCTGAAAGTCCCCTGCCATCCTCTGCTGCTGGATAAATGATTCTATTGTATTTTGCTTTCTTGGTAAAAATGACATCAAAATTAGCAGCAACCTCAGTGGTAACAGTGCTGTGAGCCACACAATCTAGAGAACAAATGGCTCCCCAAATAGTGTCTTATTTTGCAAGTCGCTGGCTTCAACTTTTGAACATCCTGCCCTTAAAACACAAAGAACTGACAAAGCCAAAGGGAGAACACGGGTGTCTTTCAGCTGGCAACACAGTGGGGTGGAGCGAGTGAGGAGGGCCATGCTGCTACAGAAGGCTGAAGTCAGGAGGGCGATCCATCAGGCATCTCATGCTGCAAACTCCTGAACCCTAAGACTGCAGGGGGATTGTTCTGTAGTGTAGGACACTTCTATGAGACCCAGGAAGCCACTTTGAAATGATGAACGAAACAGCAGTAAGTTACTCATTGTACTTGGCATTGGGACTAGAAACCCACCCACGCCTTTTCTGTGGAAAAAAAATTTAGCTTCTGTCATATAAGTGAAAAATCACGTCCCTGATGCCAATAAAATTTCAGTTGTTAAGCATATCAGGATAGCACTAGGCAGGGTGCCAGGAGGCTGGGTTCTTACCCTCTCTTTGTAATTGCTATATACGACTCAGTATGAGTGTGCTCATCTGAAAAGGTGACGAGAGGTGGGCACTTGGCACAGTGGTTAGGATGCTGCTTGGGACATGTGGAGCTCACATCAGAGTGTCTGGGTTTGAATGCTGACTCTGCTTCTGGTTCCAGCTTCCTGCTAATGTGCACCCTGGGAGGCAGCAGGTGATGGCTCATGTTGGATCCATGCCACCCACGTGGGAGACCCAGATTGAATTCCCCCCAGCTCCAGCTTTGGCCTGGCCCAGTCCCAACTGTTACAGGCATTTGGGGAGTGAACCAGCAGATACGCCTCTATGTCTCTGTCTCTGTCTTTCAAATAAATTGGATAAATAAATAAGTGCAAACCTAAAACGTGATGAGATTAATCAAAGAGGATGAATTGACTTCATTTTAACCTGGAATGATTTTTTAAAAATATGAGAGACACTGAAGGCTTCCCTAGATAGATGATGATTTTTTAAAAATATGACTACATTGAGCCGGCGCCGTGGCTCAATAGGCTAATCCTCCACCTAGCGGCGCCGGCACACCGGGTTCTAGTCCCGGTCGGGGCGCCGGATTCTGTCCCGGTTGCCCCTCTTCCAGGCCAGCTCTCTGCTATGGCCAGGGAGTGCAGTGGAGGATGGCCCAGGTGCTTGGGCCCTGCACCCCATGGGAGACCAGGAAAAAGCACCTGGCTCCTGGCTCCTGCCATCGGATCAGCGCGGTGCGCCGGCTGCAGCGGCGGCCATTGGAGGGTGAACCAACGGCAAAGGAAGACCTTTCTCTCTCTGTCTCTCTCTCTCACTGTCCACTCTGCCTGTCAAAAAAAAAAAAAAAAAATATGACTACATCAAAAAGTTCTTGGGAAAATGGAATCAAAACAGACTTTTTGGTGCAAGAAATTTTTGAAATCTATGCATAGGAGGGATCTTCAGAAATCTCATGGAAATGTGTATTATTACAAAGCTTTGCATGAATTTCAAAAAACTTCTGCGTGAAAACAAATATCTATTCACTGCATTTCCCATGAACTTTTTGCAGATTCCTTAGTTCAACTTTCTGAAGAGTGACTATGATCACAGGAAAATGGTCTTGGGTGCAGCAAGGGAAATAGGTGCAGAAGATTTTTAAGCAGTCAGTAAATATTTATTGAACCAAAGGGGACTACAATCAGGTGGACTAACTGCTAAAGTGAGAAAAATTCAGATCTCTCTCGAGATGGGGAGAGACTGGGATGTGGCTAAAGATGCTACTCCTGAGATCGGACAAACTTAGGCCTGAATCCAGTTTGTAAATTGGATATCCCTTATTTTTATTCTCTGGATTTTAGGTGAGTTTCTTCACCGCCTTGAACTTTCCACTCTGTAAAAGGCAGACCATAATCGAACCTATCACAGGGCTTCTGTGGGATTGAAAAGGTGATAACGTACCTGGCACAGGTAAGAGCTCTGTGAACGTGGAGCATTATCACCATCAGTCACTCCTCATTAATGAGTTGCTAAACGAGTAGAGAAGCTAAGGAGACCGGCCTGTCAGAGATGCCTAGAAGGACGGCTGGACACAGGAGAAAGATGCTGAGGGTGACTGATGGAGGAGAGGGGAAGGGCCAGGAACTGCTGGCAGTGCCGACTCGTCCAGCTCTGAGCTCCCCGGGAAGGCATCGAGGACCAGTCATTACAGCACAGGCTGCTCTCAGACTTGCTGTGGTTACAGCATCTAGGATCCTGGCCTGCGTACGGCAGAGAGCTGCCAGAGCAGTGACTGACCTGTGATCAGGGGAGAAAACAAGCCAAGAAGAACTAGGCCTGCCCACCTGGAAACTGCAGAGGAACTAAAGGAAGGGTGGTCGTGCAGTCTTAGGCTAAAGAGACAGAGCAGGCTGCAAACTCCAGAGGTCAACAGCTGGGGCCGGGCTATTGCAACATGTTCAGCTGCTTGTTGGGGACAATCCTCACAACAGGTCCCAGACAAGCCCCAAATCATTAGGGTCAGAACTGTCCCAGAGCTGAGTCAACCCTCTTCTCAGAGGGGCCAGCATCTCAGCGGAGGGACCTTCTCTCTGCTGGTCCCGCTGTGACTGCGGAAATCCAGCTCCCAGACACAAGGCTGCCCCTCTCACCCGGTTCCTAAAGCCAGGCCACCTCCCTTGAACATCACTTCCTCAGACGCAGATTCCTGGCCTATTCCCTGGTTCCGTCCAGTGACTAGAAATCCTTCCTGGTGCTCCCTCCCCTGGGGGCTGGCCCAGATCACACCCAGCCAGCAAGCCTGGGAGTCAGGGTGTAAACCCAGTCACACAGGACTTCAGGTGCAGCAAGAGCCCAGCCCTGGGTGAAGAAATAAAGTCTCTTGCGTGAGGCTCTTGGAAGCGTTTCACGTGCAGATCGCTTTGGACTCCAATGGGCCCAAGAGACAAAAGGAGAAAGAACAAACTGTGATCGCCCTAGTGAAGGAGTGAGGGCCACTCTCTGGGTGTAAGCCCTGGGACTGCCCCGAGAAGCAGGCGGGCACCACTGAATGCCCAGGGTGGCCGTCCAGGAGTTCATGCACCCCAGGGTACATGTCGGGTGTCACAGGCTCTCCAGAAGGAAGCGCCCTCGCCCTGTCCTGGAGATGAGGTGTGAGAGGTTTCTGGGTAACTTCTGGAGTTCCAGAAAGCCTCCAGTGTGACACCCTACAGGACGTGGAGGTCCCCGAAGAACAACAGTACAGCCACCCAGACTCTACGTCAGCTGGCTCACCGCTCTCAGGCAGGGAGGTGTACAGGAAGACAGGACAGGGGGAGCTGCTTCACCCAGGTCCGTGCAGAACATCCCTGTGCTTTGAAGACAACGGTGAGACACGCAGGCCTTCCCCAGCCTGCTTCCCTTCAGTCTGGGGGCATTTATGGAGACCTGTGTGCCAGCCACTGCGGTAACCCTGGGAAGCCAAGAGCAAAGGATCATGAGACCCAGTTAATTCACGGCACAGAGACAGGTAAGCCACTGCAACCGTGTGACGGGTCCCCTAACAGAGCCCCGTCCGAGGTGCTCAGTGGGCGCAGAGGATGGGGACACAACACGGCAGGGTTGAGTCGAGGCGGCTCTGCTGTTACCCAGGAAAGGTTTTTCCAGATGGGACAGAGTGGAAAAAGGAAGAGAAGGAAGCACAGAAGGAAAAGCATGGAAAAGGCAGGGGAATGCTCAGGACGATAAATCCAAGTCACGCAAAGGATCCAGAGAGGAGACGAGGAATACCGCGAGGGCAGCAGGTGAGGGGGAAGGGAGAGGGCTCACATGGTACAGAGGCCTCACTCGGTGCCATACTAGGAGTCTGGACTGGGTCTGGTGGCATTGGAAGCCCCAGAACATTCGCAGGGAAGAGTGGTGGGAAGACACCAGTAACAAGCAGAATACATTGGAGGCAGACAGATTGGAGGATACTGTGTTGGTCAGGTAAGAGACGACGAGGGTCTGGCACTGAGGCAGTGCCCATGAACTTGAGGAGATGACAGATCTGAAAGCAGAAGCCTCAGTCTCAGTGACCACTTGGATATTCAGTCATATAAGAGGGCACTTCAAAAATTCATGGAAAAACGGAATTAAAAGGTAAGTTGATTTTGATGCAAAAACATTTCAAAATACACACATTTTTTCCCCCCATAAGACACATTTTTCATGAAATGTTTGTAGACCCTCTATATTTACCCTGGGTGTGATATCAGGCTTAACAAGCTTCAGAACAGGGTGCTTTTGAAACACACATAAATACCATTGAAAGGTTTTT